TCCTCAAATATTGCAAAATGTGTTTTGAGCAAAATCTTTATTATTGCATGGAGAGTCATGGTGGCCATTTTCAACATTTACTTACGGGTCAGTTCATTCTTCATTTTTAAATTACTTTGCTGCCAAATGTATTGATCTCCACTAATGATGATGTATTAGTTTTATTTAAGCTTTAAATCAATAAGTCTTCAAAACTACTGAACTGAAGTACATTAATTTTATATCATTATAAAGGGAATTGAAAGACCTTTAAAATAAGGTATCACTCGACCCCCCTTTCTATTTAAGATTTTTGGGGTGGTGTCACCCCCGCTTAGGGGGCTGCACGTGCTAACGTGTGTTTTTGCCAAGCCTATGTCCCCCTCGAAAACAAAATCGACGGGTCTGACCGTTTTTCCAAAAAAAAAAAAACTGAGCTGCCAGTAAATACGTCAGTTTCGTTTTCGATGCACCACCCTGTATATATAACAAAATACAAATACAAGATTTACTGATACGAAGAAAGGATACATCTTCACTTTGCTTCTCAATACCTAATTCTACCTAATCTGTAAAAAATATCATTCACATACCAAATCTTGAATAATTGCCAAATCGTTCAGTTTCTGATTGCCTGTCGTTGCTACCCATTAATGGATTATATTGTATGATGTTCTTGGATTTGATAGGTACCTACTATAAAATTTTCACGATTGCATCTTTTGTCGGAGCATTATTTATTAGTCTGTACCATTCTAAAAAAAACTATTCATTATTAATAAACTACGTTTGGTGGCAGGTTAGTGTTTATGTCAAAAAAACCTGAATTGGGTAATTGAGTAATTTGCCATTAACTTTAGGTCATATTGTATAATATTAGTTGATCACAACCACAGTCACTATAAACTACATCTTCTGACAGTGCAGACATTTCCATCTGCTGCCGTATTTTTTGATCGTTTGACGCCATTTTCATGCAAAACCAAACCTCTACGGTCTAGCCAGAAAAAGCGATTCTGGTTGAACTATTTTCTAAAAATCTGAACCGCTCTGCCAAAAAACAATAAAGCCATGAGCGATGCTAAGCTTTAAAGCTCTGTTTGCCGTACGCATTTAGCTAACGATGTGGCGTGTTGGATGTTTTGGCGGGAAAACCACATTGATATATGAATGTTGACATTCCTCGTACAGGGTTATAGTGTTCACCTGCAGTCTACAGTATAACATCGACTCTGCTTGACAAAATGTTCGTATACTATAACTACAAATATTTTATAAAGGTATAAAGATTCATAAATATTCCGCCAATGTGCCGAAAGGTTGCGGCAACCTTAGCACAGCTGCCTCTGGCGGTCCATGAATTTCTACTATGAGTGTTTTTGACTTCAATTATATAGAGTGTTTCCTAATTGTACGTCAATATTTAATCTTGCGATTTTTGTATCCACTTTAAGATCAATACTTCCCATGAACGCGAGCCCTAAACGTTTTAACCTTTGAGATGCGGGTGGTAAAGTTTTCAAAAATAAGTCATCTATTATCAATATCTATAAATATTACTTTAAATATTTTCATGAAATTTGGATTACACATAGAGGCATATTTTAATACACACAATATATTTTTTTTAATATCTACACTTGACCTTGGTACGGTGTAACACAACTCAAATGAAAATTATTCTGAATATCCTCAATTTTCTAAATAAAGGACTCTTCTTTATCCAATGCACGGTTTTCGCTTAAAAAATAAAAACAGTTTTTCTACGTAATCATAACAATATCGTTGATACGACAATATCAATCTGCAGAGAAATAGCTTTTATTTTTAGGTGAAAACCATGCGTTGGACTAAAATAATTCAAGAGATAACATCTGCCCATAAATGTCTACAAGTGCGAAAAGGCAATGTAGTTTTTGCAAATTGGCCCAGTGACGGCAGTGAAAAATGCCAAAAACGTAAAAAATAGGGCTAAGACATTGGGAGATGGGGATTGTCTGGGGTGTTTGAGGAGTATCGTAATTTTTTGATGTTAGTATATTAATCCACTTCAAACTACGGTAGTTCTACGCACCTATTAGACATGCTTCACACATCATACATTTCCGCGTACATTTGCCTTTAAAACTGAACTTAGGAAACCACAAAAAGATAGTTTTTTGAATACCAAAGGTTCTCAAAAGTATTTACAAATGGCCAATTGCTAGTAGACCGAGGATTATTTAGAAAAAGTGGCGTGTTTAATTTTAGATACCACAAAATATCGAACCGATAGTCAATATTTATTGAATTGTAGATGCTTATATGTGCTCATACAGTTAGTTACAGCGCCATCTATGAGATAACATTTTTAAGCTACATTTCCAATTATTGCGAAGAGAAAACATAGGTGTCATAAAACTGGTTATTCCTTATAAAATAGACATCATATTCATATCCGACAAGTAACATATTGTTTACGTTTGCATTATGACGTCCTCGGTGTGTGACATTAGAGGGTATTTTTCACGTTACCTTTATATCATTCAACTCGTGACTTCTCGTCACATCATAACCAGCTTGAAACGTCGTTTTCACGTGATTGTGCTACCTGCGTTTTTTTTTTAGGCGCACTGCAGATCCTATCGTTAGTCATAAAGACAACTGCAGATTTACTTCAAGAATTGCGATACCATTGAGACATCTTTTGAAATTATATCATTTCGATTTATATTCATCTAAATGTACGTAGGTGTTTTCAATAGGGAGGTAAAATGACGAAGGTTGTCTCATTTAGGTAGCTGTTTGACAATTCAGTTAACAATTATTGTTAGTTTCTGGACCCACATACGTTCCGAGGTCGATTTCTATATAAAATAATTATAATAATTATGTTAAAACCACATACCTCACACTTCACGCATAGATTTCTTCGCAACGAATCAAAAATGCACACACATTCACCCACTAACACACACACACCATAACAACAACTCCTTAAAAAGTAACCATAACAGCTCCATGAAATAATTATTTAATAGACAATGAAAGAAAGCACACAAACAATTGAATAAACCAATGAAATGCAGCTCAAGGCAGGCAAGAGTTTCCTCAACTTTGGTTCCCTGGAGTGCACAAGTTTGGCGGAAGAAGTCGGCTGTCAAGACCCAGACATTCAGAATTTGTTGAAGCAGAATTTTTCTTTTCTGATATAGGTAATAAAACTGTGAGGGTAGATTTAACAACAAATTTACTCATCTGGATTTTCCAAGTTAAATACCACATAAACCATCAGTGCTTCCTTGTGTATCCTGCCAAAATTTAAAGGTAATATATGTAGCGCCATCTGTGAACCTAGTTCATAAGAAATCCGCCAGATGAAAAATGCTCCAACAGAAAACTGTGCGACTTCGAACCGTACAAGATGTAGTTTATTGATTTAGTGTAAAGGTGGCCGTATACATTCATTATGATTTAATCAACATGTATGCACATTTCACTTTTAAGAAAATGTCACTTCATCAAGAATAAATGTAATATTTGTTACAGTCCATGCCACTTTAGTAATTTTCTTGAAGGCACAAGCCATTTATGACAGCTGGCCATTTACCTTACCACACACGTTCTTTCGCCTGAATATTGCGGGGCGTGCAATGTAGCATTTGCAGTGTTACCAGGTCTACTCATTTTTCGGTAGATCTATCGATCTTAGTCCTATACTTTTTTTTGAATCTAGAATAGTATATTCCCAAGATAATTAAACGACACAACAATTTGACATCCCCTTCCCACTTTCCAGTTTTTAAAATAGCGGCTTTTCATCCCTCAATCTTTAGTTTTGAAAGCCAAATGGCGACCAAGCAATTTATTTTCAATCAGCGGGAAACAAAAGTACGCTTGAAACTCCTTCAGTTTTTAATATGTCACGTGCCAACGCCCATGCACTAACCCCTAACACAAGTTTTCTAGACGTCACAGCAATCGTGTATGTATAGCCAGCTTTTAGGCCCGTATCGTCAGTCGTCCCTACAATTGTAGGGCGCCTCTATGGCCTCCTTGATTATCATAGTTTTCTACTTCTCCGTGTCAGTGCTCTATTTTGAGGTTATGTCACAAACATCTATTTGCATCAAATTGTGCTTGCTTTTGAGTTATATCATGTTTTATCAGCCTGAAATTTCCTACAATCAAGGAGGCCATAAACGCGCCCTACAATTGTAGGGACGACTGACGATACGGGCCTAAGTCTTGTCAAATCCTTATTTAGGCTCTCTAGAGTTTAGAGGATGTCAGGAGATGGTGTGATTCAATTTCTTATTACAAGCTTAAGATGAAAATTGCATTCCTAATTGAGTCTCCTTGTGTTACTTTACTTTGACTCCGAAGAGACTGGACTGCTTGAAAGATCTGGAATAGATTGGCCTTGACCTCAGATTCAGCTTGACTTTGCGTTGATCTTGGATTTGGATTGGCCTTGCCATTTGGTCACCTTGATCGATCTTGACTATTGATCTCTTCTAGTCTTGGATTCACCTAGATATGACTTTGAATCGACATTGACCTTGAGTTTGCGTTGACCTTGAGCTTGGATCGACAATTTTTCTTCCATCAAACTTTTTTTCATCACCTTGTCCATGTATTGGTATCAGCCTTGGGTTCACCCTAACCTTCATACCGACCTTACTTCTTCATTGCTTTTGACCATTGACCATTCTGGAGTTCAGTTGACCTTGAGTACGACTTTGGATTGGCCTTGAACTAATTGTTGTCGATAGAACAGTGGGGAGGGATATAATGGATGGATATGAGGCATAAGCAATACTACAAAGCAACATTACTACCTAAAAGATATGCTGAATTTTGGGATTATTTTTATAACTCTGAGAAACAGATACATGGTGTAAGAAGCGCAATCGTATCTCCTATTTGCGTGCCTTTGAGTATCCAATATTCTTGACTAGACTATATGAAGTATCCCCCTATTCCTTCCAACCCTATCACTCTTAGCACGCCTGCGTCTTCCCGCTTGTACCTGCGCGCCTCTGGTATATCGATTCAGCTCAGTTACTGCGGCCGCTTGAGCAAATTGACTTCCTCAATGAGATAATGGATGTTTTCGAACCTTGAAACGCCTACATTAGGTCACAATTGATCTATAACAACATGAAGTATAGTAAATACGCTTTTATAACTGTGTTTTTATGTGTCTTCTCCGAGAGTTTTGCCCAGGATGAAAACAGGGAGGTTGTTAGTAAACAGCATCCGGAATTATCCAAACTGTGAGTATGAAGGTGACTCAAATCATAAAAATATCTGTTCACTGTTTTTCTAGACTAATAATGCTGAAATTTTATGTCCATAAACCTCCTCTTTTTGCTTCAATGCTACGTACATTTCTCTTCTTCTGTAGCGAGTTCTATAAGACGAACTTGTGGTATTGAACAGAAAAGATACAGATATAGATACCTATATTATTTAAGGCCTTACGACACTTATACCGAATAAAGTCGATGAAGAGGAGCGTATAAAAACCATTGTAAACTAAGCTAGCATGCAGTTTAAGTATAAATCGCTTTTGCTGCCCCATACCTTTAGTGACATATCTTGCCATGCCGCATTGCGATTTTGATAGTGATAAGAATACCTAGGAGAGGTATAGCAACACTTGATTGATCCACAGTTTCAATCCCCTTTTTCGTAAACGAAATTTGTTTCTTCCTCAATAATACCGTCACGCTGGGTCACATTCATAAACATCACTGGAGGATTGAAAATTGAAAAACGTTGAATGATTTCTCCTTTGGATTTTGAATGAACAATATCTAGCTTCCTCATGCACCGATGTCAGGTTTTTCTTTGAAGGTGACCAAAAAATACAGAAAAATATCTTTTCGCTGTTTTCTAGGCCAATAATACTGAAATTGTACATTTACTTTCTTCTGTAGCGAGTTCTATATGACGAACTTGAGGCACTGAACAGAAAAGATATAGATATACTTAGATATATTATTTAAGGCTTTACGATACTTACACCGAATAAAGTCGACGAAGAGACGCATATAAAAAACATTGCAAACTAAGCTAGCATGTAGCTTTTGCTGCCCCATACCATTGGTGACATATCTTGTCATGTCGCATTGCGATTTTGATAATAATAAGAATACCTAGGAGGGGTTTGGCAACACATTAATCCATCATTTCAATCCCCTTTTTCGTAGACGATTAGTGATTCTGCGTTTTTCTATAGATGAACCGATATGTCAGCGACAATAGTTTCTTCCTCAATAATACCGTCACGCTGGGTCACACTTATAAACCTCACTTGGGGATTGAAAAACGTTTGATGAATGAACTTTCCTTAGATTTTGAATGAACAATAGAAGAAGGGTCTCTAAGGGAGGATTTGGCATTTGTATTTCATGCATCGATGTCAGAAGGTTTTTCTTCGCTAGCCGTACCTTATCTAGGACAGTTTGTTCTTTTTGCTAAATGTTACTAAGCAGTGCAAAATAGTAATGGAAAATGTTTGATTTCTCGGTTTTATAGCCAAGAGCGGATTTTGTAGCAGATCAGACTAGGCCAAAAATAAGGAACCAGTATTGCAGCACTAACTGTTTCATGACAGTTAGTACAGTGAACTTGAAAAAAGCTCCCTGAAGAAGAGGAGGAAAATTCTTATTATAAGCTGAGCAATAGACTTGAGTTTTTTATTGATTGATTTGCCCCGGTTGTATATATAAGCGCTCTAATTAATTTTTTAGCGTTTTCCTGTAACCTTTGACATGATACACGACTTTTCAAACTAGAGGTTTTATCTTTCACTATTCTTTTGAGAGTGTCTAGTATCTGTACTAATAACACCTCTTCTGCAGATTTTTTTTAACTATTGCTCATTGTATTCGTTGATTAACTTACAGATTGTACTTCTAAAGGAGGATATAGCAATATTATGCTTTCTAACAACATTAATTAACAGAGACTAACGATTCTAGTAGTATAAAGGTTTGTGGATGTAGAGGCTTTATTTTCATTTATTCTTTTAACCTTGTCTAGAATCTGTACTAATGACATATTCTCTTCTCCGGATTATTTTTTAAATTCACTGTTACCCATTATTACAAAAAATCATCGATTAACTTTCAGATTTTACCATTAAACTAGATTATACCTATATTATAGTTTCTATGGTTCTGCAACAGAAACTAACGATTACAGTATTATGAAAGCTAGTGAAATTAGAGGCTTTATATGATAGCTCCATATTTGCGGGAAAAGTCAAACTTTCAGGTTGAAACAGCAATTTCTTCATTAAAATAGATTTGTTTAGTTTCGCTTATACTAAAAAATACAATACAGATAAGAGAACTATGTCAATTATTTCCAGAGTAATTAATTGGGCATCAAAACTTGGCGGTGAGCTGTGGCATTTTGGAGAGCTAGTAACTAGAAAAACAAAAGTTAAAGATGTAAGTTGAATCCACATTAAATACTTAATAAAGTCTGATATCACATCACACTAACCACTTATGGCGATAGTCTACATGATTTTTGATATAACAAAAAACTGAAGAAGAAAAATATTCTTAGTATCAAAATTATTATTCAATAAAAACAGAAATAATTGTTTTTTATAATGTTTATTCCTAAGCAACTCCTGCTTTGAAACGCAGGAACATCTCATTTAACTATTCTGAATCTGTAATATGTGTATGTTCTAGAGTTTCAAAGATACAACAGTGATAGTAGAAGATGGAGAAGCGCTCCTTAGAAGTATACATGAAAACATATCGAATATGATGAAACAAAAAGTAGAGGCTGTAAAGGTAATTCCTCGATTAATTCAACTTGCGTTTGTAAGCCGAAATTAAATTTTGTTTTAGCGAATTATGGATATTGCAGAGCAAGCAGCTCAAGCTCAAAAAGAAACCGATATAGATTACAATTTCGCATATTTTACTGTAAAGAATCTAACGAATTCTTTGGAAAATTCGTCTGAGGAGGCTACCAAGGTATGTGCCATTACAGAAATTAAAGCATATATCTCAATTTTTAGGCGTTAGTATATATTATAAGCTTGCAAACCCGGTATTGCTATGCACCTGTTAGGCATTTCGTACATCATAGATTTCCCAATGCTCTTACCCTTGAAATATTTTCAAAATACGCAACGCAGCGAACATGGATATACTTGCGTCTAGGTCCGACCGATGGATGGTTATCAAGTGGCGAGACTAATCATAGCAAGAAGGGGAAGAGGAAGAAATGTATAGATCGCAAAGTTGTAAAATGGGTGGGGACCATCGACTAACCAGAGGGGCTAACTTGTGCCAAATATAATCTTTTATGAACTGATGGGATGTGCCTACTTACTTGACGCCATTTTGTATTCGTTGCTAAGTGACGACGCATCTGCCAGCGATAAATAGTACAACCCATTTGATTTAACGCAATAGATACATAATTAACCGTTCTTTAAAAAATATGATTGCCTAGCAGCCTGAAGTGGAAGCTCAAGAAGTACGTGATGATTCCTTCATTTCGCCATCTGGTGGAAAATATCAATCGATGATCCATCCTGAGGAAATGGGTGAGTTCCAACAAGATCAGGAACGCGATCTGAACCTGAGCGAAGACGGTACATCTAAGGATGAGGAATTTGATCCAGATTTGGAAGTAAGTGAGACATAAATAGCATAAATATAGATTTTTCGTGGGTCTGGTTGGATAATATGAACCTTAGCAATATGTTGTTTCAACAACCTAGTGCCACGTGTGATAGGGCAAGAAAAACTTTGGAACTGATAAATTGAAAAAGGCGTGAATCCTTGTGACGTCCTCAATTTCCCCTGTATCTTCATATAACCTCCCAGTTTTCATAGGTACTTAGGCTTTAGACCTTCGTGGTGGTTCAAGCATAAAAAGAAGGCACGTTTATGCGGCTTGAGAGTTCATGCCATCTAACCCCCATTGTCATTTTGGGTGGCAAACAATGACATTTTTTGAAAATTATAGCATATACTTAAATTATTTGAATATAAAGACTTAATTGCACTGAACATTTTTTCTTCATTCACAGACTAGCGATGATACCGAGAAAGATCCCCAGGCCAGCCAAACTCAGCTCATTGACAAGACAAAGCTGCCACTCTATAGAAATAAAAATTTTTATAACATTCCTGTAAATACCAACTACAGTGCCGTCCATGTACCAAGTAACGTATTTGATAGATGTAAGTATATTTGACTACAATTACATCGAATGTATTTGATTACAGTATTCCTGAACCTAACTGAAACAGACACTAAACTATATCCGTCAAAAGAATTGTGGAATATTGCACGGATCGGTGGAGCGGTAAAGCATAAAAGCTGCCAAATTGCTGCGTCGTAGCTTTTTTCATATCATATATATATATATATACATAACTTGAGACGTGGTCATTGTCGTCTAGACCAGTTAGGTGAAAAATTAAAGCTTCCACCTTTTGTTGGGTACTTCGACAAAACTTAAGCAAGGAGGACTCTTTATACCTTTTTAAACTCTCTAGCTTTCAATGGTCTTTGCCATCATCATCAGGAGCTGCAATTACATTAATAAAAGTAGCAACAATTGTGCAAAATGAATTTAAATTAACTTACAGTAGTATGTGAGGATGTTGCTAAATGTTAGTTACGTTCAGGATGAGGGAAACATCCAGTAACATGATGAAAGCTGGATACATGGTACAATAGTCAAAATTATACAAACTACACACAGCTGTATGACAAGAACAAATTAAAAACAGATTAAAAATATTTAAAACGAAAGTTAAGCATTACATCGTGAAGTCACTTGATGATTGCACAAAATGGTGGGCAAGAGTTTTGACAGATGGCCGAAGGTTAGCAGAGTCCGTGTAGATGTATGGAACGAAAATTCTTTTGTAAGGCGTGTGCTATGTTGCCAAATCACTTCAGATAGTGTGATTTTCAAGATATGTTGGGTAAGAACTTGTCAAACCGACCAGAGGCAGCTGAACTAACTATATTATTATGAGTTGGGCAATTGAGTCAACAGTTATTATTTATTTATGAGAAAACAATTATTCAAATTTGAATGGAATGGAATTTTTTGGTGGAATAGACCAACAAACAGATTCCATTTATGGTTGTGAAAAGTCAAAATTTGGAGAGATGTGTAAGTGCTCCAATTTTTCGCAATTTAGCAAATATGAGTAAATGACGCTCAGTTGCTTAACATTTGTCTTCTTATTGATACTGTTATCATTCATGAAAATGTGGGACATATCCAAACGTTTATTCCTGAAAATGTCCCACATGCCGGTGAGAGCTAGGTTATTTGTTTGTGGCTAAGAGACCTCCTCACTCTGTGAAAGGTCGCTTTACCGCTTTGTCTGCGGGCTTTGCTCCTCAGAGCTCTCCTCCGTGGTACCTCCGCGTGCTGAGTCTACCAGTAGAACCCGCCAGGCTTCTACCTACCATCCCAACTCTTTCGAACTTCGCACACCAAAAACTGGCCGATACGACCGCTCATTCGTCCTTAGGGTGTCGTGAGTGTGGGGACAGTCTGCCTGAAGAGGTTTTCCCCAGTGACGCTAACCTTAGGCAGTTCAAACAATGCGCCTTTAAGTTGCTGATAGCAGTCTCGATTCCCGGTATTTAGGTTTCAGTGTAAAAAAGAACAGTTTTAAATATGTACCATTGGATCATTTCTTCTAGCTAAAGAAGTGATATCCGGCATCAAGTGGTCCGAAGAGCTGGACAAGACCTTCAGAAACAACTACAAACTAGACCCAACCCTCTCCTGGCAATACTTCGGGAGTTCCACAGGGTTCATGCGCCAGTTCCCAGCCATGATCTGGTCCCAGGAACCAGTTGACCTCTTCGACTGCAGGACGAGGTCCTGGTACATTGAGGCAGCAGCATCCCCGAAGGACATGATCATACTTGTGGACAGATCTGGGTCCATGACAGGAATGAGGAGGGAAATAGCTAGACATGTGGTGTATAATATTTTGGATACTCTTGGGAATAATGATTATGTGAATATTTTGACGTTTAGTAATACTACGGAGCCGCTGGTGGAGTGCTTTGAGAACCAGTTAGTGCAGGTGCGTATAAGTGCTTCCACAAAATGCAAAACGAGATCTTAACCGAGGCTGAATTCGAAGTTCGAAGTTTTATAAGAGAAATCAACAACCATTTTAGGCTTCTTGCTATAAACCTGTGATTCTGTAGGCAGAGGACTTTATATATTCTATATAACTATCTTCATCTGCATCCAGTGACCTTGAATCTGCAGGAAATTTAGATTTTGTGACAATTATTTTTGAGAGTCAATTTGAAGCCTTTACCAAGTCGAAACAGGAATCCATGATGTTTATGAACGTTGAGCCCCACTTCCAAAGTTATTCCAAGGGCAACTCTTATTTTTTAAATAGAAAGCCTCCCTTTTATATCGTCAATCGGAAAAGCCGAAAATTCTAGTTGGCTTCAAAGGTTAAATGAAGGTAAAATTTTTGAGGCGGGAGGGAATTCCTAGATGTTCGGCGGGATTATTGATGAAAAAAGTCAAGATCGGACCTTTAGTAACTTTCAAAAGTGATTTTAATGTTGACATTGGATTTCTTCACTTCACTTGTGCAAAAAATATTAATATAGCATGAGAGCGTATCGGAACGTAAAATTTTCCATCTCTACCATCCCCGGTGTCAGGGATGATGGGGTTCCCAGTCATAAAAAGGTGATCTTTAAGTGACTTTGAAGGTGAGGCTCAAGGTTTAATTTCTTATAGCCATTGAAATCCTTATCAAATGTTACAAAATAGTATCTTGTGCCATCAATACACTTTTGACCTCCGTTTAACCTTTAGAGATGACCTTGACCTCAGATTCAAATCTATATCCGGACGTAGAATTTTAGGCAGCAGCTAACTTTGCAATAATTTTGGAGTTGAGCTCAAGGTAAAACCTAAGGTAATTAGTTTACTCCTTGTTAAAAATTAGTATAGACCTAGACTGCTTTCAAAAATACTTTATCTGGAAAAATACAGAGTGGTTCCCTTACTTTGGTTACACTCGGTATATTTGATACCCTTGATGCGTGTTGGAGATGCATTCAAGGTCATAAACATTTGACGTCTCGGGATGTAGTCCCAGGTCGAGGTTGCGTAGAGTTACCTACAGCTTCTAACCTGTATTCATCTTAATTCTAAGTATTGACGATTATGAGTATCATACCGAGTAAATATTAAGTTATAATCATTTTCAGGCAAGCCTGCATAACATAAGGGTCTTCAAAGAGGCTATGGCTGGCTTTAAAACAGAGCAAATAGCCAATTTCTCTTTGGCCCTCATCTCAGCATTTGAGATGCTCCAAACTTACAGGGAAACAAAAGCAGGTAAGTTTCGAGTTCAAAATGTTATGTTGATTTTTTCTCTTGCTGGGACTTGTGATTCACTAAGTGCGTTTTCTCTAGGTGCCAATTGCAACCAAGCCATAATGTTAGTAACAGACGGTGTTCAGTACAACTATAAGGAAATATTCGAAGAGTACAACTGGGGAAACTTGCCGTTTATGAACGTCAGGGTGTTCACGTATCTCATTGGTCGAGAGGTATCTGACGTCAGAGAAGTAAAATGGATGGCATGCGCCAATCAAGGTAATATTATCACATACCAAGTACTGCCACTTCCCATTTTCTGGACCAATAGGTCGTCATAAAGTATTGTAATTGTCTATTGTCCAGTGAGAAAGTTAATCTATTATCTGTAAGTATGGGCAGTGACCCCATCCCGTTGAAGCCGTGTGTTTCTGTTAAATCGACGTTCTGTTCTTACAATAGGAGCAAAAAAAGTGTCAATCATGGGCTTGTATCGCTGGGAATTGACTGTCAATGCATGACCGTTTTCATCTTTAAAGAAATACGACTTAATAATACCGCTAGAGGATATGGCGCACCAAGCACTCACCTTTGAACTATGTAGCTGTTGTTGATTTTTCTCTTTTCGGTTCGTTGATGCCCAATATCTGCAATTTTCGACGTTCTCGAGTCTGCGCTGCGTAGGAAAAAGATGCAACATCGCTTCAGCACAAGATTTCGTACTACGTAATCACTTTCCTTTAAAGCATGAACAGATAGGATTCTATAAGGATGAAAACCACCTTCATCATGCCATGCAGTGTTGACCTAGGGATTCCCAAAGCAGCGGAATGCTTCCATACAGAACGCCGAGGATTTACAATCACTTACTCGACGCACATTTTCTTCGGTTGATACAGTAGGAGTGGGGCCAGGAACGGGTTGACTTAGAGTAGAGCCTGTTTTACGGAACCTGTTAGTCTACTTTTGTAAAAGGATCTTACTTGGGTCATCTCTTAGTCGGCGAATGTTGTATCGTGTACAAAATTTCCGAAGGGCAGCTGCGCCAAAGTAAGACTCGATAACAAAAGTACGTTGCGCTTCGGTCCAACGTTCCATTGTGACTATTTAACCCTCACGCCGAACGCGTCGATCAAGACCTCTCCCGTATTTACGGTTGCCGCGTTATTCAAATTTGAAATGTGAACTTTCCCACTGGATACCCGTTATCATTCCTTGAAGTCTTTTGTGGGGCAAAAAACCCTTGAATTCTTGGGCAAAGCCATCTCCATGTGATGCTATTTTTCAGACGTACTAAAACTGAATTTTGGGTTTAAAAAGTAGGTAAATTTGGGTTTGGGTTATTTCAAATACAGCCCTTGATTTGTTTAATTTTCATGTGTATGTGCTGTATGCACCAGAATAATCATTTTAAATTCACTAACTACAAAAATAAGTAGTCTGACCAAAGACAGCTAACCATGGATTTATTTCTATAGATCTCATACTACGGATAGCAGATAGTTGCTATGCTTTCTCTCGTTGTCCCAGGGACCAAGCCCATACTGAGGCGTAATCAAAAAGCACGAAACAACTGTCTATGGTTGGCTGTCTTTGGTCGGATGTAGACCACATCGACTATTCGCTATAATCGTCAGCCCCCAGAGGTCACAGTGGTGACTGGTCTGCCAGACGCGAACTGGGATTTCGACATTACCAACTAATACATACACTCTCGCCGTTGTCGATTTTAATAATAGATGATGTTTTGTGCTGCTTTATTACGGTACAGAAACGAGGTATCGAGCGAATACAGTATCTACTCTGCCTTATATGCTTTGCCCGAAATCAATTATTTAAATTTTCTTGTTCTTACCAAAACCATTGACTCAATCCTCCTCATTTGTATGTCCGAGAGATTCCTTTAAATATATATTACGTATTGTGAAAAGCTCCCCATATAGGTAGGGTAGAAACACCTATTTCGCAAAACCAAATTATTTTTTTTGCTGTCAGGTACCGTGGATTCTACAACCGCTGGTTCTTGAAGAAGTTTGAACCAATCAATTGCCTAATTAATATATGCAACATGTTAATAAGTCAGTGTAATTTTCAGTAATATGCAATAAAAATATGGTTATATTCTTCTTTTGTTCAAGTTATATACTATTATGTATATTGAAACACCGTATATAGTTCTACGAATTCTTACCATTATTACTTACAGGTATTACTACACAACTATTATTAACAGTGAAGGTCATTTTAAATTTCAATATTTTAAAGCTCAAATACTATATTAAACCCTAAAGAATTCATTAAAGCTGGTTCATTTGTCAAAATACCATTTTTATTATCTTCCAAAAAATTTAATTTCCGAGACTTGCGACGTTTCGGACGAGGCAGTTATTACAAAAATGGTGGAAGTACTGCGAGCAAATGGTGCCACTTTCACCACAGTTAAAAAAATCTTGGCGATACGTGTACAAAGAAAAACTACAATTCCAGTTTAATTAAACAACATTATCTAGGATACTACGTGCATCTGAGTACCTACGCTGAAGTTCGCGAAGAAGTACTCCACTACGTACCAGTGATGGCCAGACCGATGGTACTCAACTCAAACGTGAAACCAAACCCAGCCTGGAGCCAGATTTACGCTGACGTCACTGATCCCAAGCTCACCAATTGGTTGTGGGTGAACAGGGAACGAAACAGACAAAGGGAACGGTTCATGGGATACAGCAAGTTGAAGCATATGCTGTCAGGAGAGCAGAGTGATAAGAAGTTCGTGCATCAACAGACACAGGTGGGTTGCTATACAGTGCTTTCCAAGACCCTATTTTTTAAACAGGTTAGCGAGGTGAAATTTTGGGTGATGGATGTTAATGATTGATAATGATCATATTTTTATTTTTTCCTTATTTCAGATTTTGCATAATCCATTTCTTCATCGTAATTGACTTTGAAGGAATCCATTATAGAAATCGCCCGTTTAAATATTTTTTTTTAAAAGCGCCTTTTGCACGACAGATGCAAAAACTCCAAGAGTTCACAGTTCCCCAATATGTATCAGTCTATAAAAGATAAAGAGATCTGTGTGTTAGAACAGATTCATACGTTTTCAAATGATATTAGATATTATTTAGCAACTTCCATCAATATGGGTATCAATCAATTCAATTTGAAATCTTTATCTTATACAGATTATGTTTCACCTGATGCCTTTGGCTTAAATATAAACATTAAAAAACCACAACATATTGCTTCTATACACTATATTTCTAGGTGAATGGAAAAGCATGGCTATTAGATACTAATCGGATATTTTTGCTTCTAAAATCGATTTCTTATCGATAATTAAATTATCTTTTATTCTTATTACATGTCCAAACAGATACTTCCAAGGCAAGAAGATTGATATAGCATACTACAGCGATTTAATGATTGGCAGATAGTCTGGGACTGGCGAACGTGGAGGTACCACTAGGTGGACTTCTAAGGCGGGGCCATATTGTCTGCATATTGCGCGCCATGGGTGTTTAGGCCTTAGACCTTCATGATGGTTCAAGTATAAAAAAATGTTGGCAAACATTGTTGAATAAATAGCTAACGGGCTGTTTAAATTAATTAGAGAATTTTAAAAGGATGACGATGTTTTAGTTTTTATCACAAAACAAATTCTGGAGTATCCGGGAAAATCTCAATTTCAGCCAAATGTTCCTGAAGTTTTTGTCCGGCGTCGTTGATTTAGGTGATAGCAGACCTACCGATGACCTGGCCATACTTTATGATAGCGTGACGAAGTTTTCCAAACGCGTGGATAAAAATTTTCCAATCTCTATTTTGTTTTCAGAAACAAGATACACCTGGTGCTAGTCAAACCTACCATATGATGACCTCAGTCTCACTACCCGTATATGATAAAAAACCACGTCAGGTAAGCAGTGTTATCAATTAGCATCTTTGCACTTGCCATAATATCTCAAAGAATATTTATCTGCTCATGGTTTTTACTAGTTAGTAACAGTTTACTTCTCTACTACCACAGAATATAACTGAGAAAGTTCAAATCAACGAAGCAATATGGATAACGGTAACCCGTGAGGTACATTTCACCCTTAATTTTGCCAGGATTGTGTATTATAACCTTAAGCTTTAGGCAGCCGTTAACTTAGACTCCAGTGCTAGTATGAAATAGGCAAGTGTCGTTTGAGTGATAGTGTGAGACTCTACGCAGTTATACTTAGACGGTTGAAATACGTAGCCCACTGCTGACAATATAAATTCCAGTGCTAGTTTGGGATACTCTGCGTGTTTTGCTGTTATACAAGGTTGTCTTAGAATGTTCTTTTTCGTTATAAAAATTGTTTTTGTAATTAGACCAGAGTGAAATAGTGATAGTATCTTAGGTGCGGATTAGAGCGGTTAGTTGAGGTTACAGATTGTAGAAGTTCCCATACATGACAACCAATATGGTTTGAATATATATAATTGGTATACCACGCGATTTTGAAATTTTTAGATTCACTACTACAAAACCTGTCATATCACCATGTATACAGGGTGTCTCCTACCTACACGGTATGAAACTTAAGAGGATTAATGTGACCACGTTAGTCTGCTCGAATCAAACCACATGCAGTATGCCTATATTTTTATGCACTTGTGAGACATCACTAGGCTGGAAATTTTACGCTCTTTTCAAAAATTAAAAATTCAATATGGCGACCATAAGAAAAATGAAAGTTGAGGCAGGTTACGGGAAAACAAAAGACGATTGAGACATGTCACATTTTGACAGTCAACTTAACCGTTTCGGATTTACTAGCAAAAAACATTTCCTGTTTTTCGCCGTCATTTCCAAAGCCAATAGACCGTTCGTAAATATGAGTTTCCTCTAAAACTCCCTCCATTTAACCCTTACTGTAGGTATAACAGGCGCCGAAATCCCTGTATAGAGAACTCTTCTTTATTATACGACGTTTCGCTCCCAGCGACGACCATTTTCAAGTACAATTGATGATAAGGACTCATAAGTCCGTCCAGCCCTCCAAAGCGACAAGCGAGCATGAGCTGGCTCTGGTTTTTCTGTGTACCAGACTCATCACCCTAGTCCATCATCCTGAAAACTTCAAATATCCGCCGAAAACGTGAAAACCCACCTAGAACTGCAACTCAAAACACAACTTTCTAGTATCTTGTGTTCTCTTTATGTCTAATAATAAAAATATCTTTACCACATGCTAAAAACTATTAATGAACAACATGGTTTTCAGTAAGCAGGGTATGCAGAAAACACAAAACATCAAAAAGGTGCATTTTCTGAATAATATGGCTGTGGTGCCCACTAAGGCAACGCTGGATCTAATAATTTCAGTCTACTCAGACCTAAAAAAGCACCTTAATTGTTCCAATAATTGCACCAAATTGGTTTATAGATATTCATGGTATTTTATATACCGCTTATTTTTTTAAACTTCAACGCCCTATATCTCAGAAACGAAGCAACTCCGGACACAATTATGTTCACAGAAACTTTATTCTTAAAACAACCTAACCAATCATCCTCTGGTGTGGTGCCTTAGTTAGGAAACACCCTGTATAGACTTTTATGCTGATAGGTCTCGCGTAATTCGAGATAACCCTTTAAAAATGGTTTTTTATATAAAAAAATATTTTTTAGGAACATATTATTGCCTTTGGGGCCATAAAATAGAGTAGTTACGCTAGCGGTTTATGTATAGTGATATTTTTCTCTAGCAATTTGTGAGAATAAACGAAATATTAACAGTAAGCAAGTAATTACAAGGTTCTGTGCTTTCGCAAGACCATTAATTCCATGCAGTTTTACCGTTTTTGGCATTTTTTTATTGTTGTTAGTTGAAAAGCAAAAAAAACCTTGTTTATCACATGCTAAAAGTTCTATACAAATATTTTCACTCATACTTATTGTGATGCTCTACTTTAGCATAGTTTCAGCGATTGCACGGAACTGATTACCAACTAGCTGTAGAACATAGAAATTAGTACTATACGCTGTTTAATTACTCAATTCTCAAAATACGAACATGACTTGAACTTGAATAGTAATAAAAATAACGTTCTGTTCCAGGAACGTGTTGCTAATCTTTTGGGCGTAGCAGGAACGGATGTTCCTATTGAGTACATCCAAAGACTCATGTTACCATACAGGGTAAGTATACAGGGTGTCCAAAAAGCAAGCATACGCCAAAATGGCTCGAAAAATATGTTTCCTAGAAAAACATGTTGTACATCGAAGTTGAGAAAAATACGTGTCATAAAGAGGGAGCAAAAAGTTGTAAGGTTCGATAAAGGTCAACAAATGGTGTCCTGAAACGTGAACTTGGCTATGACCGTCAAGGTTATTAGATGATCAAGATGCTCAAGTATGTCCAAGACTTGACTAGGTTACTTGGAGATTAAATGAGTTTCTAACATTAAACATATACTTTTGATTCCTAAAATTCTATGATCAAGTGTTTGAATTGATTTGAAGGACAGAAAATTTTTTGAGTAAGTACCTTTTGTCGGGGATATCACAAAGTCAAACATTTTATGCTCATAGTCACTGTCATGTACTTGATAGTCAACTTTGCTTATTTGTTTGTTGCAGATTTATTTAGCATTAATGCTGCATTATCAAAATAAATGTCAATGATATTCAAGGTAACTTGGACATCGAATAAATTTTTACCGGGGTACTCCTATTTTTGCTTCCAGATCAATATTCACATCCCGTAAAATACTCGATTATCGTGAATCCTGCTGTTAAGGTCATGTTTAAAGTACACTTTTTGATGACTCTATTTAAGCCCTCCAACATTTCTACGCAAGATTTTTCTCTACGTAGCATATTTTTTGATATATTCTATTCTTATATGCTTTAAAGTTTAATGTGATCTTGAGCGTCATTGTCAAAGTGTTCAAAACGAACTACGTTGAAAGTAAAATTCCCGGTGTCTTGGCCTTCAAATGACGTTTGAGGTTGCATTTAAGGTCACCGTCAGATAACTCTTTCCAAACTTTCGAGATATTTTGATGAACCTTATTTTTGGACGCACCCTGTATAGCGCATATATGGAAATATCTAATGAACAGGAAAATAATACAACATTTTCACTGTCAAGTTTATACGAATACATAAGCCAAGAACAAGTAAACTACTTTGTCTCTTTTATATTTTTTAGCTTGGTGTGAATGGGTACGCCTTCATAGTTACTAACAATGGCTATATCCTAGCACATCCAGACTTCCGCCCAGTAGTAAGTTTAACACGATGACAGCTTTTCTGAAATTCCTCAAATCTCAATTTATTTTAGTTTGAAGGCATTTTGAAGCCATCGTATAACAGGGTAGACGTCATTGAAATAGAAATACCCGAGGATGAGACTGAACCAAGAAATTTTAGTGATGCCATCAAAGAATTTCGTAGAAAAATCGTTTTCCATAACAGGGGGAATGCCACGTTTAGGATAAAATCGCATTTGGACGACATGGTGAGACATCCACTTTTCTATATTTCTATACAGAAAGCTCTGACAGCTGAGACGTACATGTTCCGAAGCAATAACTCACCGTTCATTTAATAAAGAACAAGTATCATCATGTCACATGTTGCTTATAAATATTTTCGACATCTTTGCATATTCGTTGTATAATTGTATAAGTGGATATACGGAAAAAGCCATAAAAGTCACAATAAAAATTGAGGCTAGGATCAAATTTGTCTAGTCTCCTTGGTAAAAAAAGCATCAAGTTAATTTTGTATACCTAAGTCGTCAAAATTGACTTATGCACAGGAATATTGTTGAAAGTTGTCGCTCTTTGATTCAGAACAGTAAGTTTTTCCTCAATCCGCAACATTCTGGTATGTCTTGTCTCCTACTGTCCGCATCGTGACCTTCTTGCTCACGGCGTTTGCACGAGATAAAAGAACAAACGCAGCGAAGAATGGAGACGTCCATGTATATGCACTCGTGACGCACCAGCAGCATGTTGAAGATCCTCACTGTAAACTAGTATCAAATCAATAAGTTTGTTGTTGTTATACTAATGTGCCGTTTTTGTTTTTTCAAACCCGATTTGTAAACAAACAGCTCTGTTTACCTGCACGATGCGAGGTGTTGGATAATGACGCATGTCGTAGCCAGGAGCGGGTTACATGTCGCAGAACTTTCGGAACCCGATCTATGAGTTACTAGAAAAAATTGCTTGTTGTGCAAGAAACGCTTTGCAAAGGAAACTGTCAGCTTCAACATCATTTCAGTTTTACTTCTCACTCCTACTAGTGAAGAAGTTTTTCAATCCAGAAATATATATATATATATAAATATTTTGAAAATAAGGTCACGAAAAACCATGTCACTCATTTCTGTCGGTCTGGCAGTCAGTTTGTCTGTCGGTCGGTCCGCAAATCCTTACCCCTTCTATAACGTGGGAAGTACTGCTCGGATTTGGATGAAATTTTCACACATGGTTACCACAATGCCAGGGACTAAATCGCTTGTCAGGTTTTGAAAATCAGTCTAGTTGCGGCGGAGCTAAGTGCCGAACACCAAAAAAATTAAAATCGCTAAAACATCAACAAATTGGGGGGTGGGGATTATAGGACAGTGGGGGAGGGTGCATCACAATTCTTTGATGTTGGTATATTAATACACTTCCAATCCCGGTAATCATACGCGCTGTTAGACATATTTCACAGATCATGGATTTCCCCGTATATTTGACCTTGAAAGTTCGTAAAATATTTTCATCAGACACGACAGGCGAGTTACCTATCGGTCGCACTTTCCGTGCGCCACGGGATTGTACATATTGCATTTTTGGCAGTGGATCTGAGTAACTTACCCAGGAAGGTGACGTGATATCCACATACGAGGCATGCGCGATATCTATATGCGAGCATTATACTTGGAGTATAATTTAGTGAGGTTACTTGATTTCGTGAGGAAATATTCCATATTATATAGACGTCAACTTATCTATCAAAAAAATACCTGCTCCTGGTATATACGCCAAGTGTGAAAAACATCGTACCCAATCTTCTGGAGAAGTAACCATACAAGAGATAACACCAGTAAGTACTTACAGAAACGTTAGCAGCTCTTCCGAGGACGAACCAAGCATTTTCGGTCATTTTTCTTTAACCTCTCGCGAAATTGTCACAAAAGTCACATTTTTGTCAAGAAATATCAACTTTCAGCCTGGCCTATACATAGAGTTTTTATCCGATATGACTAGACGAAAAAAGAAGGATGAAGAAGAGCAACAAGAAGACAAAGATGAAAGCTATTTATTCAAGAATAATGCAAATACAACTATAGAGCAAGAAGTACAGTACCTGAAGAAGCTATTAGAAACAAAGAATGAAATAATTTTAGATAAAGAGAGGTATATCAATCAATTAGTTAATGAGAACAGACGTTTACAGGAGCATTATGAATTGATCATTAGCAGTATAGTGAATAAAGAAACCATAATCACTTCTTTGGGGAAAATAAATGAAAGAGTTGAAAAAAATAGAAGCTACTACCTCATACACCCGTTGTAATGATGTAATTAAATCGTATAGTGGGGCTGTAAAAGAGTAAAAAAAAGCAGAGATGAGAAGAATGTAGATAAAATTAATAATACACAAAAGTTGATGATAAAAAGTACGGACAAATCAAACTCTAATGTGTTGGAAGAGCATTGATCCAGCTAAGTCAAATATCTGTGTGAACTCTGTGAGGAGGGTGAATAACGGCATCATTCTTAGCTGCGAAAATGAAGCATCATTGTCCAAGCTGATGGCGAGTATATAGGGAGAACTCGGTGCGAATTTCACTGTCAATGAGATCAAGAAATATCGCCCACGCATGGTGATAAATAATGTAGAATGCGCCTACACAAAATCTGAGGGATTAATCGAGAAGATCTTGTCCCAGAATGAATTTGGTATTTTCAGTAGTGATGATATAAAAACTGTAACCACTTTCAGATGTTCCGAATCTACTTTAAATGTTGTCATTGAGGTCAGCTCAAAATTTAGAAAAACGTTGCTAGATAGAGGTCATATATACATGGGTCGGCAAAGATGTCCTGTGGGGGATTATGTACGAATTATACGCTGCTATAAATGTTCAGGTTTTGGCCACATGGAAAAAAATTGCATACATTCTAAAGTATGATGTCCTTTATGTGATCATGAGATCATTTGGAAAAAAAATGTAAATCTGCTTTTAAGAATTGTTCAAACTGTATGAATCACAATTCTAAATTCAACACTCAATTTGATACTAGTTATTCTTCTAAAGACTTAGATTGTCCAACTTATAAAAAACATGTTACATACTTGAAATCTAGAATTGAATATGAATAGTGATAAGTTCAAGGTTTTAAAATTTGGTCATATAAACTGCAGATCAGTTTTATCAGGATTTCATGTATTTAGTACACTGGTTCAAAACAACAAGCTTGATATTGTTGGAATATCGGAAACGTGGCTATCAAAAGATATATCTAATGACCATATAAGAATGACTGGATACAACTGCTACCGCTGTGATAGAGATGGGCGAGGTGGTGGGGTTGCAGTCTTTGTAAACAACCACTACAACTCTTCCATAATTTCATTTGGGCAAGGCCCAAGTCTTGAATATATATGGTTGAAGGTGCAGCTTCCAAAACAAAAAATTGCTATTGGTATATTCTATCATCCCGCACACAGCCGGTAATACCTTTGATAACATGTTGCCTGCCATATTAGCTGAATATGATGATATCATCCTTGCAGGGGATATCAATGTTAATTTGCTTTTAGTTTATAACAACTTGACTCAATGCCTTGATTCTTATAATCTGAAACAGGTGATATCGGAACCGACTAGGATAACTGAATCGACACTCACTCTCTTAGATCCTATTTATTTGAGCAAGCCTGAAAGTTGTCTTAGGAGTGACACTATTAATGCCGATATGATTACTGATCACTATTTAACCTTCTGTGATATACGTATTGCACTTCCTAAAAATCAACAGAAATTTGTGACATTCAGGGATTTCCATAGTTTAAATGAAATAGCGTTTGAACAAGGTCTCAAGAGTTTTCCATGGTGGCATATTATATCGATAGATGACATTGAAGATAAAATTAACTTTTTAACAGATAGTATTTTATGTTTATTTAACGTTCACTGCCCAAAAAAGGTAGTGCGTGTAAACAAAGCTCCAGCTCCTTGGTTGGATGATAATATTAAACTTGTGTTCAAGCAGACAGCTGAAGCTTTGTCAAAGTTCAAACGTGATCGTACAGCCGCCTCTTAGCAACAGTATACATATTTCAGAAATCGTGCATTAACGCTCGTGCGAAGAGGAAAAAGAGATTATTTACAAGCTGTTCAAAATCAGGATATAAAAAAGTTTTATAAGACCCTAAAGACTTTAAAAGTTCAATCTCAGAAAGATTCTACAATTCCCGCGAGCTTGTCAGATCCGTATAAAATAAATGAGGCATTCATTTCAATTTTCGTGAATAGTGGTTTGGCTTGTGCTGATAAAATTGCATATTACCGAACTAATAGAAATAACTCAAATTTCAATTTAATAAAGTGACTATTGACACCGTTGTTAAAATTATACATAAAATAAAGTCAAATTCTAGTGGTACAGATGGAATAACTTTGCATATGATACTACTACGTATACCTTAAATTGATGTGTACTTAACGCATATTATAAACTGCTGTTTAGAGAGGGGATATTTCCCCAATCAGTGGAAACGCGCTGTAGTTATTCCGCTACCTAAGTGTTCTGATCCTACTAACTATGGTCAACTGAGACCGATCAGTCTACTGCCAATTTTTTCTAAAGTATTGGCACGCGTTGTTTACGAGCAGCTCTGCGCCTACTTACGTAATATTCTAACAAAATTATTCCATCTAAACAATCTGGATTTCGACAAGGTCATAATACAGCTTCGGCACTCTGTGATTTAACAGACAATATAACAATGGCACTTAATAACCAAAAAGCAGTAGCTCTCATACTTCTTGACTTTACTAAAGCATTTGACACCATTAATCACTCACTTCTTATATCTAAATGCAGTTATTATGGATTTTCTGAAAAACCTCTTTCGTTTATTCAAACCTACCGGTATCAAAAAGTTCGTCTAAATCAACAGTACTCTACGGAACAAAAAATTTGTTCTGGTGTACCACAGGAATCAGTCTTAGGACCGCTATTATTTTCATTAGATATCTCAGATTTAGAAACAGAGGTAAAATCATGCAGCATACAATTTTTTGCAGATGATACTCAAATTTTCTATTCATTTAGGAGTAATGACTTGGAAACGGCAAATAATAAAATTAATCAAGATCTTGCCCAAATTGAAAAGTTCAGTAGTAGTCATAATCTTCGTTTGAACACTTTGAAGACAAATATGTTGGTATACGCAAATAGAACAAAAAAGAATACCTTAAAAAAGGACATAGACATACATTTAAAAGGTAATAAATTAATTCCTGTGGATCATTCGAAAAACCTAGGTATTATAATGGATGATGACTTAAAATTTGTTGCACACGTGAACTATCTAATTACTCAGTGCTACGCTATTCTCAGAGTTTTATTTGCAAATAAATCTGCGAGAAAGCAATTGTGTGAATATTTCGTGTTTTCAAAGATATCGTATTGCTTAGTGGTTTACTATCCCTATTTAGATATTATAACAAGAAATCGTATTCAAAGTATTATGAATACATGTTGCAGACTTGTAAATGATCTCAGAAAATATGATCATATATCGAATGTCATTAATGAACTCAAATGGATGAAAATTGATAAAATGTATAAGTACCAGCTCCTAAATCTGACTCATAAGGTTCTTTATTCAAAAACACCGTCATATTTAGTAAACGAATTCATACGTAGAGGGAATATGTATCGTATTAATATTAGATATAGAGAGACTTTTTCAATTCCTCGCCACAGCACGTCTCTATTTCAGAATACATACATTTACAATGCGATCAAATCATATAATTCTTTAGACCGCAGTTTAAAAGAAACCAATCCATTATCTGAATTCAAGAAAAAAGTGAAAGAAGTTCTATTGATCAGCAGCGAAATCGGTTGTAACCCATAAGTGTCCTCATATTTTCCTTATGTATTTACTTGGATTATACTTTATTCTGTCGTTATTGTATACAGGTGCCTATTAATTTTCAACAAATTCTTTTTTTTTTACATCTCGTATTGTTAAGGGGGTTAGATGGTAGAATAGATATATAATCTAGATCTCGCCTCCTGTAAGAATATTACAAATAAAAGACGTTAATTGTTATTATTATTATTATTATTATATTATAGTAAGTATATATAAGTATGTGTTAACAAATATTTTAATCACGTATCAAACATTGCTGACAAACAGTTTATCTAATCTGAGGAAACTTCATTCCATGAAAAGCTCAAATAGTGCATTAATGGTGCTCGCAAAACCCACGTTTTTTATGCCATTGCACTACATGGAAGATTGTGGTAGATGTTGTTTCGATGGCGTGGGAAGTATATAGTCAATCTTCTTGACGCCATTTTTTGATAAGCACTCTGAAAGTCTTTAGTGCGTTTCCTGCATGTCTTGTTGGCCATTTATTAATGTGACTCAATTATAATATTATAACGTATAATCAAACAATTTCTTTATTTCAGAAACGGATCATGGTGCAAACAAAACACTATTACTACATGGGCATAAATGGCACCCCCTTTAGTTTAGTCATCTCGTTACCACATAAATATGGCTTCAATCGAATTCAGCATCCTGTTGAAAACGACATCCACAGGATGCGATCTAACGATAAGATTAAAGGTTCCTTAGCCCAGTTTTTTACGGGGAACTGGACCATTCATCCAGACTGGTAAGTCGCACACTGTTTTTCAATTATCAATTTTTGTGGTCGTAAAGGGTTTTTTATGAAACTTGGCCTCAAATTCCGGCCTCTTTCCTATATTTTTTTATTTTGTTTGTAGGCAGTACTGCCGGTATCTGGATGATAAAGAATCCTTTAACACGCCGGAGGAAGAATTTCTCCATTTTCTCAAGAAAATGGAAGGACCCGGGTGGAAATGGTCAAAAGAATGTACGTTACCACACCTATCTTCAAAATATCAACCATTTGTTGTTCTTATTATTTTTGGCATCTATATATATACAGAGTGGCGCATCGAAAACGAAACAGACGCATTTACTGGCAGCTCAGTTTTTTTTTTTGAAAAACTGGGACCCGTCGATTTTGTTTTCGAGGGGGAAACTAGTTTGGCAAAAAATCACGTTAGCACGTGCAGCCCGCTAGGCGGGGGTGACACCACCCCCAAAATCTTAAATGGAAAGGGGGGTCGAGTGGTACCTTATTTTAAAGGTAATGTACTTCAGTTCAATAGTTTTGAAGATTTATTGATTTAAAGCTTAAATAAAACTAATACATCATCATTAGTGGAGATCAATACATTTGACAGCAAAGTAATTTAAAAATGAATAATGAACTGACCCGTTGGGCAAGTAAATGTTGAAAATGGCCACCATGACTCTCTATGCAACAATAAAGATTTTACTCAAAACGTTGCCGGACATTTTGCAATATTTGAGGAGTAATTTGAAGGCACCCATTCACAATTCTTTGTCGCAGGTCATCTAATGATGTTGACTGAGTAGCATAGAATTTTCTTTTTAAATGACCCCACATAAAGAAATACAAAGGTGATAAATCTGGTGATCTTGGGGGCCATTCAATGGCACCTCTTCTACCAATCCATCGATCTGGAAACGTCTGATCTAAATATTGTCGAACGCGTAATGTGTAATGTGGTGGGGCACCACCCTGTTGGAACCTATTCGCAATGTACCGCAGATCATTCTGATTTTCAATTATGGCTGTTAATGCAGGATCTATGGCGTCTTCCAGTAATTCCAAATACATTTCACCCGTCAAATTTCCAGGTAAGAAAAAAGGACCAACTAAATGATCGCCAAAAATACTAGCCCAAACATTTAATTTTTGTGACTGCTGTGTATGAACCTCATGATAAATTCTGGGATTAGAATCGGACCAATATCGGCAGTTATGACGATTTACTACGCCATTTAAGAAAAAGGAACATTCGTCGGAAAAGCACGTGTTGAATAGAAAATGTTCATCGTTTATAATTCGTTCACTCATATCTTCACAAAATTCTAATCGCCGATCAAAATCGTCTTCATTAAGTTCTTGTACCAGGTGAATTTTATACGGATGAAAACTATGGGCCTTTAGAATCTGTTGAACAGTACGTCGATTAACACGACACACAGTCTCCAATTTGCGGGTACTCAACGTAGGATCTACATAAACTTGCCCTAAAACCCCTACTTCTATTGCTTCGTTCCTTATGGGATTTTCAATGTTGCGTTTTTTATTGGCGACTGACCCAGTTTCCCGAAATTAAGCTACAAGTTCTAGAACATATTTTCGATGCACGTTACTGTTCTCATGTTGCTCATTAAATATTTCTGCTGTTCTATTAGCGCACTGATTATTTCCGGAAAATATTTCGATAATTTCAATTCTTTCTGCTGTGGAATATACCATGGTTAATTTATGTAATAAAGCGTTACAAGTTGTTTTAGCAACAAAGTTTGGTCAAATCAATCGCAAACTATGTACTAAATTCCTATTTAAAATAAGTACGAGATATTTCCTTATCTTTCTTCAAGAAATAACTTTTTTGCCACAAAAAAACGCTCCAATAGCTATTTTCAACCACAAAATGATAAACAAACTATGGGCGCAGTGAAGAAAAGCATTTACTGATTAAGTAAATTCTTTTAGTCAAATTTCTTCTGAAAGTAGTACAAACTAATCTGATGTACCTATTAAAGTCTACTTTAAGCATTAAATCAATAAACCTTCAAAACTACTGAACTGAAGCACATGTATTTTACATCATTATAAGGGGATTGAAGACCTTTAAAATAAGGTATCACTCGACCTCCCTTTCCATTTAAGATTTTAGGGTTGGTGTCATACCTGTCCAGGGGGTTGCACGTGTTAACGTAATTTTTTGCCAAACATGTGTCCCGCTCGAAAACAAAATCGACGGGTCTGAGCGTTTTTCCAAAAAAAAAACTGAGCTGCCAGTAAATGCGTCTGTTTTGTTTTCGATGCACCACCCTGTATGTCGTTGCCACATCGCAAAATTTCATGAAAGGTATTATTATCCAGATGAATGATGAATCGTTTGTCGATATGATCACCAAAATGCGCGCGTATTTCATGTAATGGTCAAGCTTATTTGATTAAATCGTAAAATAACTACATTAATTACCGATAAAGGCGCTAGGAGCGCTTTGATTATGTCAACACGGCGGCCGTTAATAACAAAGTTGCTTTTCTGAGTGAAAATTCGAATAATTCGTTACTAAATGAGAAAGATGGTGAAATTAAAAGGTGTTAGAGTTTTTTTGTTTTGTGATCACCCTATTTGACGGTATGATCAATCGAAAATAATCAAATCTTTAAACGTTGGATATTTAACGATATGGTCAAATTTAGCTGCCTATTTCATGAAATGGGAAACTCCACGGTATAACCACAGCACACGTATTAGACATATTACTAATGATTCTTTCAAACTTATTCCGTAGGTGATCGAAAATTGATCTGTAAAGTGGTAGCTGATGCCAAGATCACATCATGGTTCAATCAAAACATCACTACAACCACCAAGGAGGAAAATGGGTATGTACAATTTTTGTGATTACCTATCTATGTGGAATAATTATGTTATACAAAACGTCTAATGTCTCTCTTTTTATTGATAAGACCCATGTCGATTTTGATGGCATTGGCAAGGTACAGTATGAAAATGTTATAAAAATACTTAAAAAATCTCAAACATACATCCATCAGCATGCATTTATGATGAAAGTGAATGTCAAATTTTATGGATATTCTAGACCTAAGAGGACGTTTAAAAAATGTATATAAAGCTACTCAGAATCATACCTTAGCTCTAATCAGTCAATCATGCAGGTTGCTGTTATTGCTCAAACTTAGAAAAGCGTTACAATTTTTTATTGATGATTTATATTTAGTACTTTTTTATATACGGTGATGTTTAAAATGTTGCCAGAAGAAAGGAAATGATAGTCAGATAACCGTAGAATCAATATGAACGGCATTGAAATTCAAACTGTTCGGTGCAACTGCAGGGATATAATGTTGATATACCCACATTATGTAGTAACGTGCATGACACATACACACCTACTTATAAATAATGTGGAATTTTAAGTGATGATTATGTTTTTCCCCTTTATTATACCTACTGCTGACCAAGGAGTATTTTATTCGTTCATTTTGAAAATATCATGCAGCCCAGGAATCCAGGATCTGATACATTTCTCTAATTAAGTAGCTATTTTAAAATTTAGGAATAATTACCTGATCTAGTTTAGCATACAGGGTGTGCCATCTTTTATGTCGGTATGTAACCATGAAATAACTTCGAAAAAGGAAAACCGATTTCTATATATCGGGTATTTTATTAAATGTGGTCCTTTACAATTTATTGGGACTAGTTTTTGAACACAACATCTATCAAGTGGCCACCTTTATTGGCCAAAACAAAATGTGCCCGTTTTGCTGCGTTTTCCATTACTTTTTCGAGCATCTCTGGTGGTATAGCGGCGATTGCGGTTCGAATATTTGCCTTGAGTTCTTCAGTGGTCTGGAGCTTGCTAGCGTATACTTCACTTTTCAAATAACCCCACAAAAAGAAATCCGGTGGGGTCAAATCTGGAGACCTGGCCAGTCAATGTCACCTCTTTTTGACATCAGACGTCCGGGGAATTTTCGTTGCAGAAACTGGATTGTTTCATTTGCAGTGTGGCATGGCGCACCGTCTTGTTGTAACCAGTAACCATCAAGACCTTTTTCGCACATTTGTGGACAGACATAATGAGCCAACATCCACCGGTTTCGTTTTCGTTGGAGAAAAATGGCCCAATGATGGTTTCCGGTCATGGAACGGTATTTCGTGGATCTCATGTGGATTTGTATGGTATACATGATGATTTGGCCGCAAATTTTGGCTAAAAATTAGAATACATCATAACCGCTAAAGTAAAAAAGAATCGAGTCATATGTATGCAACAGAAGTACAAAGAAATGAGCACCAAAGATGTATATGAATCACCTGGTGTATCTAAAAATCAATTTTCTCCAATTTATGTAGTGTCCCGGTGAGGACCCGAGAGTTCCTGCAATTCACTTCGCAAGACGATGAGACGGCGGCTCGATCTTCATTTGTTGACATAACTTTTTATTGTCTTTTAGACAGATTTTAACTTCACTAGCTTTGGAGACGTTTAGAGCTATTTTATTATCTGAATTTATTTTATGCAATGTGGATGACCTATTGTCATAAAAAAATTCAGATGACTCCTACGGATATGGATAATCCTTATTGATATAAATAATCGTGGAAGGTGTTTGTACGTGAATTTAATAACGGTTAGTGAAGACTGATTATTGCAAATACGCGAATCGTTAATAACAATATTTATTCTAAAAGACATAGAAAAAGGAGCATCTAAGAAATATTAATGTATTACTAATATTCTCTAGGTGTATGTTTGCTTAGGGTAGGACAGAAAACAATCAATTTTTCTACCATGTCCATAGTTTGCGATAAATAGGCATTTGACCATTGTTCAATACGTTGTAGAGAGCTGCTTTAATATCTTCATTACACCTAGAGTGAGAAAATGTTTAACAGCATGGCCAGTTTGATAAAAGGTTTGTTAGTACAGCGATCGGTACCTTGTCGGTGACTGTGTCTGGGATTCGGCAGTGTCAATTTTCGGTCTATACAGGGTGTCCGCAAAGTTGGGGTTTTCCTTTACACGACGTGCAGATCTTGAAAACATAAGCAATTTTTCTTAGTACCATATACACCAATGTCTTAAGGGAACCGAGATAAAGGGCTCTGCAACATCAAAAATATCTGAATACCGTCCTGTAGCCGAGACATCCCCGAGTGGTCCTAGAACACTAGCTCAACCCGACGACAGGACTGGGTTGGGGTCAGTATGTCAGGTCAGTGTGCAACCTTGAACCGACGGTTACCGTCACGCGTGTAGAGGTAATCGCGTAGACGAGAATCCCTCAACAACCACTAGAGACTTGGCTAGAGAAGTGCAAGTATCAAAAACTAAAGTGTGGCAAACGCTGCGTGAAGAGGGGCTGTATCCGTTTCACGTCCAACGTGTACAAGCCCTTCAACCTGACGATTTTCCAGCAAGAGTGCGGTGTCGTGAGTGGTTGTTGCATCAACATGACAATAATACGGACTTTTTGAAGTGCATATTGGTGACAGACGAATCTACGTTCACGCGTAATGGGGTGAATAACTTTCGCAACACTCATGTTTGGTCAGTAGAAAATCCGCACGCGGTCCGTCGGGCACATTTTCAACAAACATTGTCGGTGAATGTTTGGGCTGGCATGGTGAACGGTATGCTCATTGGACCATTTATTCTCCCAAATTGATTGGACGGGATGCAATACCTAGACTTTTTACGCAACATTTTGCCTTCCTTGTTTGTCTGCGTCTGCTCGGTAGCGCATCAGCTGATTTCATTTTCTGTTGGAGCGGTATGATTTCGGGCAGAGACGTACTTAGCCCTTCTCGTCAACTGGAGAGTGAGTACTTTTTCCTTTATTTTTTCTACTTGGCCGCCCTCGTTTCACTACACATTACCTTTGTTATTTCAAGGGTAGTTGTTTCTGAAAAGGAAAACCCCAACTTTGCGGACACCCTGTATAGTTTGGGACTCGATCACCGACAGGCTGGCGTCAGCTCTACGGACAGGGCTAAAGGCCAAATAGTGGGCTTAAGTGAGGCTGGTTGGCCCTTTAGGAAAATATCCACCGGGATACACAGACTCTAAAAATGGTAGTAGTTTGTTGTCGGGCATGGAATCAGGAAGACCGTTCACAAAGGATTAGACGTAAAGGGCGTACCAGAAGAACGGTCTAACATCAAGTTTGCCTCATTAGGCTTTTGGCTCTAAGGGTCCGCTTCTCGTGCAGAAGGTCAACTTCGGACCAATGGTTTGGACAGCATGTAGATGCTATTACATTGCGAATTGTTTATCGCCGGATCCACAGTTTTGGACTTACTTCTTACCATCCTCAGTTGTCCTAGCTATCACTCTTAGGCATAGAAGAGATCGGCTGGCTTGGTGAAGACAACGGCTGGACTGGGACCTCGAATGGAGTACCATTCTCTTTAGTGATGAATCTAGATTCTTTTGAGGGTGATCATGCAAGGGTGAGGAGGCGACGAGGTGAAAGACTAGATTTTCAATTTTCTATGAAAATGCATTGTAATTATCGTTTTGGGGCTGTCGCTCGCAGATCATTTTTTATGATCCGCCATGCGTTGCATCTAGGAGGTGAGAGAATCACATGTTTTGCCTTATATAGGGACGCTCGCCCACTTTTTCAACAAGATAATCTGCGGCCACGTATAGCCAGAATTACGTTTGTTCATTTTGAAGACAATCAAGTCGATTTGTTGCCTTGGCCTCTAGATCGCCCGATCTTTCACCCATTGAACATGTGCAAAGAATAGTACTCCGCTGACCCCATCACCCACAGACTCCAACGGAACCTTGGCACGAGGTACAAGTGGCCTGGGATGAGATACCTCAAAAGGAAATCGTTCACCTGATTAGGAGTAAAACGATCATGGGATTTTAAAGGTATTATTATAGGTATGTTCAGTGAATAAGCTGTATCGGGGAGCTCCGGCAATATTTCTTTTCATATAAAAAAAATATATTTTTTGAAAAACTACCGTTGGCCTTATTAGGAACCCAGGTATCCAAATAAGGCCATGATCTGGTTTTCAATAAAGCCACGCTCAAAATATAAAACAATACTGTTGAATAAACAAAGTTATATTTTTAACTAACAACAATAAATAATTCTTAAATCCAGATAGATTTCAAGTAAAAAAATCAACTTGTTTTTTCCTTCGCATTGATGACAAACAAATGATACCTTATCGCCTCTACACAAGCCTACACATCCCTCATGGACATATCTTAAGCATATGCAGCAGCGGTGGCCGCAGTAGTAGACTCTTCGGTCTCCTGATCAGTCGCCGTGCACTGTGCGGGTTCGAGTCCCGTCCCAGGAGAAATTTTTCTCTTGGCTATGGATGTTGTGATTGTCCGTAGGTGGTAGACGGTCTCTGACTGTCGAACGCGGATCTCGTAGGCGGAGCCAGAATGTGTGCATGTTGCGTGTACACGTGTTCCCTCGCCAGAGTCCGTGTGGCGTTCCCCCTTTTCGCATGTATCCCCCTATAGCCCCACGGTACCCAATGGGTGCTTAGGGCTTAGGCCTTCGTGGTAGTTGGAGTACAAGTAAAAAATATTACACACAGACGGATGTCACGTAATTCATATTTATCGCATATGAATCAGTCGAAGTTTTCGTCTTTATTCTTCTGGGAACCATTTAACATGGCCTTATTAGGCACATCTAACCTTAAATATTCAATTTACAAAATTGAAAACATTCAAAACCTGGCAAAAGCAAGTAACTATCTGCATATGCCTTACAGACTTACCTGATCGAATTAACAAGAGATTCCGTAAAAAGAAGCAGACAACATGCAACAACGAAGATAAATTTAAAGCAGAAATTTTATAAGGCACATGTTGAAAATCGACGCTGTCCTACTGCGCCATCTAGCGCCGCTCCACAGCTGCTGAATTTATGGCTGCTAACTGCTCTCAATAAATGTGTAGAACTGCAGAAATCTTCAATTTTAAATGTCAATAGTTTCTGTAAAATCGACGCAAGGCCTTATTTGGTAGAGGGACTTCCGTGTGCATAAGGCATCGTGGAGTCCCAGCAAATTATTAATTTTTGAATTTTTTCCAACAGCTTGATTTGTCTGAAATTTTGACCAATCACCTAACTGTAAGAGACATGTATCAAAAAATTGTTGTAATGAATTGATTATTACTGTTCTTTTTTCTATGTCAGTTCTTTTTTCTATGTCAGTCGCGTCAGTTGTTTGGCTTATTTATCACGGTATAATCTCAGTAATTCTTGCATAGGTGATCTTGGAAAGTGACTCATGTCATAGCAGGATGTTATATTTTTAGCGGTATCTGCTTTGGTGGCAAAGATATAAGAAACCAGTGTTCGTAAAGATCTTATAATGAGAATTTTTTATTTCATGCAGAGCGGAACTAGTGAAAAAGATAGGAATTGTAGTAGCTTTCCTGGCTACTCACAGTGGCCTTACAAGATGGCAAGACTTTCCTCAAAATATCAACAGCTCAGAACATGAACCGTAAGTAGCTTTTTTTGGAAAACATGATATTTGCCTTATATATAAATAAAAGATACTAATACTATCTTCATGTTAATAACCTGACGTCCACATGGAATAGCCTGGTCTCAATCAGACGGAGAATAACACTGTGGTCATTTATTGAAATCGAGGTTCTTTGTATTTTTTCAATTATCATCTAATACCTCGAATTTTGATCTTTTATCACAAGGTCGCTACTATGATATAGATGAAATAACTATTTGTGCCATATGCCATTGAAATAAATATATTTTATTTTCTATAGTCTGAGTTCAAGTTAACAAACAATCTACTCAGGTTTTGTTACAATTCTTAGAAGTAAGTGTATTCTTCATTTCTTTTCTTAGTAATTTCCACATGTTACACAACAAAGCCATAGACGAAATTTGGTACAGAAGGGCAGTAGAGCATCACTATGTAGACCCGAGCAATTTCGTGTATGCAGTGCCTCATGACGTCGGTAACTCATCTCACACTTTGGTGACCGTCAGCCACGCCATCTTCAAAGAGGATGGTGCCAAAAAGGCACCAGCTGCTGTAGTGGGGTACCAGTTTTACCATAGGGCCTTACATCAGCTGTTTACCAAGATTACTAGCAGTGTAAGTTGCATAATAGAATTACCTATCGGAGGCTTTTTCACAGCTATATAGAATGTTTTGCCCCCAAAAAGTATATTCTGAGTGCTTTCAATATTAACTTGGCGACTAAGTATTGTTATCACGAAAAATATCGAAAATCAGATATTATGTTTTTTGGATGATACATCACATGCACCTCGCGAAGAATATTGTCACTTATTTCCGTCGGAGTGTCTGTCCGCTAATTCTTAGCTCCTCTATAACTCGGGAGGTACTGCTCGGATTGTGATGAGATTCTGACGGAAGATTACCACTATGACCAGGACGAAAACAAGTAATCAAGTGCTACGGACAAAAAACGCAAAAGACAAAGCGAAAAGGGCTGAAACTTTGTTTTTGGACGATTCATAGGATCCTGAACGTTTTCGCATGATTTTAAAGTGTTCAAAATTGGGGACTGGGAATCGAAGGTAGTAGGGATTATGAATATTGCATCTCTGGAATAATTAAAAGACGTTCTACCCTTAAGGCGTTGCTGATCCCGGTCATGTTATGCAACAGATAAGTAGATATAATGTTACACAAATTTCAACTTTCGATTCTGTTTGAGGCTTTTGAGTAGATTTTACCCAGGCAATTTTTAATTATACATATGCGTAGTTAACTTAATAGATAGGTAAAATTGTCCCACTTCGTTTGATCAGCTACTACTACGACAGTTTACTCGAATAACGTAAAGAACTCTGTCAAATAGGTTTGTTCGATATTTCATTTGCAATTGGTTTAATCAATTTTTGTTAATTATACATATTTCATGTGGCATTAGGTATGGAAATAACCCAAACATAATCTAATTGATGACAAAACTACAGAGAGAGAAGTACAGAATTGGCGTAATTCTCTCATCTCAAAAGTAGATGAGCTATTAAAGTAACATATATATATATATATATATATATATATATATATATATATATAATACAATACAAATAGGTTTATTCACTGTTCAAAAAGTAATTTCAGTATATAAACATAGATGTATATTTTAAATGAGGTATAATTAAAATTCTGGCAAGTCTTAGAAAATAGGAAGAAATACTGTAGCAATAACATATTAATTTTTCTCCATGCCTCTAGTGTGGTGATATGCCTTGTAAAAGGACCTGCGAGTCAGAAGAGCTGCACTGCGTGATTCTGGACGACAACGGTTACGTGATTATCAGTGATAGCCTGCAAGAAACCGGCTACTTCTTTGGAAAAATTCGATCAGACGTGATGCACCAGCTTGTGGAAGAGGGTATCTACAAGGTCACTACGATGTTTGATTACCAGGGGTTGTGTCCTGAGCCTATTGATACCTCTAGCCCCGCTACGAAGCTATTATCGGTAAGTATAATACAAGGCAGTACACAATTGGACATTACGACGTGATTGTGCTGGCGGACAAGCTGAGGGAGATACCGGCTGAAGACTTCCAGCGCTGCTATCAAGACTCAGAACATGTCTCCATGGGTGTGTAGCTAATCAAGGGAGCTAGTTTGAAGAGGATAATATTGACGTTTGAACAAAATAGAAACTTTGGTAGATATAAGATCGGTCTCATTGCTTTTCTGTCACATCTCGTTAATGGGGGAAAATCAAAATAGGTAACTATGAAATAGGAATAGTTTTCCTATGCTGAGTGGGGTGTAATTTTATGTATGTATCAGCCATGACCTATCCTATCAAAAGGATTAATAAACTATTTGTCTATCTACCTATCTTAAAAAGTGTGGAGTAACTATCTTGATTAGGAATTGAAAAAATATTCCATATTTCTTCAATAATAGTGCTTTCGTCCTTCCGATCAATCGTGTCAGTCAATCAGTACAGTCTAGGTCCTTAGGTAGAACAACAACCGAAAGCACAGCAAAAGTGACCTGCATCATATGGTTGGTCGGACAGACAAAAGCAATGTTATTAGTTTTTAATCGCGAGTACACCGCACGTACTATATCACCAGTAACGGCAGCATTTAGCGGTCATAGTGATGGGACTGCTGTTTAAGCGAACTGAGATACATTTTCAACCGACAGTTGGTCTTAGAGAATAGGGAAGTGTAGCAGTGGTCGATACTGGTCGATTCTGACTCCTGTGATACCTTCCTAACGTAATTTTTTGTCGCTTGCAAGTCAAGTGATATTGCTCCATATCCAAATAAGCAAGGAAAGTAATTGCGAAAACTTTCAATTTCGAGACATGACATATTTTTGGATGTTACATTATCTGCTCTTTGTCATCGTTTGTCTATCCTTAGTTCCTCTATCGTTTTAAAAATCGGGTCAAAAGTCAACAATTTCCAGAAGGCGTCAATCTTTCGTTCCTATGTTTACTATTACTGGCGATTCCAACCGTTTTTTATGTCTACTATAATCCTATTATTGATATTTATTTTCTAGCCTACTGTACACTTGATGAAAGTAGTAAACTGGGCGATAGGCATTGCAATTCTTTTCGCAAAATCCGTGTTTCCCCATTACCTGGAGGTACTGCCAGAATCGGAGCATTTTGGCAATAATTTTGGGACCCATGAAGAGTACAATGCTGAATTGCACGATCAAGAACATTCAGAAGGCGGTGAAGAAGCAGCTTATGGCGAAAAAGAATTTATTGAAAAGTGAGTGTCCATCCATCGTTAGTCTTACCCAAACTCTTGTACCTGACCTTGATAACACACTTGAAACTTTTACTGCTGGAGAACCTTCGATACTCTGAAACATAAATATAGATGTCTTATGTGTGACGATACTTTTTTGCGATAACGTTCAACCTCTGAACAGCTTACTATCTACTAACCAATAATTGAAGGTAGCCATACGAGTATACTGTAATCCGGCATCCCAAGAGGGATCTAAAAGATACTGGTACCATCTATGAGACTACCAGAATACAAAAATGAATTTGGAAATTGACTTTGAAATCATCAAGGTGTGGTGTTATTTTATTTGACCATTTTCAGATCGAATACGTTAATCAGTGCGTAAACTTATTTTTACAATAGTTTTTCAATGAACCTATATATTTAAGCTGTTTATTATTCTTTTATAGATTTGCGATAAGGAAAACGAAACCAGAGCCTTGCGACCACCAAATGTACATGTACTCTCTAGTACACTACTCAGAAAGAAACATATCAAATAGTGGATATAATCGATCCATGGTGGATTGCACAAGGCCTTACATAGTTCAAAAAGTCACTGGTAGCAACCTGATACTGGTAGTGGTGAACAACCTGTGTCGAGAAAATAGTACTAGAGTAGCAGACTCGCCTGATCCTGTACAGGTACCGTAACTTTAAATAACCATGTGCTGATTAAAAACCAAGAATTTCTACGGGTAATACAACAAAAGTACCAAACTGATTCTAAAGTGTTTCTATGATACCATACATCAAATGATACTATCTAATGGGTTGAAGAGTTTCAATATCCACCTTAGATTAGTCTTTTCGCGCATTTTTTCAAGAGTACTGTGTGTCAGGTCGGAAATCTATATACAAATGGACTCAAGATTGCTATCGGTATCAGATTTCCTCCGATACAATTCGATCAACTGTCTCCGTCTGTACGAGATGTCGTGAGTTCGCCTCAGATGTCATCAAGAGAAACTCCGCGACCGCTCAAGCTCGATATCAAACACGTCTGATTTTTAGGAATGGACACGCTAGTCGAGAGTGAGGCAGCTTGTAATTTGCCCAAAGGCAAAATCTGTGGTGAAACGTGTTCCAGAAGGAAATCAAACTGAACTTCAGACATTAATAGCAATGTTATTTTAAATCGCCAGGGTGCTCATTTTTTAGTTCAGCGCCTGTCAAATTTTATGCTCTCCCAGATTTCTTTATAAAAGTATCGAATTCTTAACCCAACTAAGCTTTTTCTTTTTACTTCCCTGGCGAAAATTTTCTGTCTGCCTATCCGCCATCCTATAACCGCCTATAACTTGAGAAGCACCCCTCGGATTTTGGTGAAACCTTTACACAACGTTACTACTATGCCACGGTCGTAAAAGCGTTGTAATTTTTTAAAATCGGTCCAGTGATGGTCGAAAACAAGAAAAAATCAAAATTGCTCCAACTTCGTTTTTTGAACATTTTCGGAAATATTATTGAGGGGTTAAAAATTGGGGGTTGTGATGCAGGGGGTAATTCCATCTCTATTTTTTTACGTTATTATATTTATACACCTCTAACCCCAGAGATCCTATGCACATGTTATTCATATTTCACTCACAATAGATGTCGCCGTAAATTTAACCTTAAAACTTAGAAATATCTCCTACAGTCGGGTGTCGATACGCGTAACGTGGTCCCTGGGATGCATTTCCGGACCCATGTTTATAGAAGCTTCTTTCATACTTTTGAACAAGGAATCATCCTCTAAAATATCTCCGTCTATTTTTGAAACACCCTGTATATATACATATCGACATCAATCGATCCCTATTCTAAACCTTTTCGCTAACATACCATTTAAATCTGAACTCAAAAGAGCACAACTATCAATCACAAGCTCCTTCGTGATCGGCTTGATCATCGCTGGTTCAGTTTTCTCTCCCCACTCAATGAGCCATGAAAGAGAGAGATCGAAAGCGTGCCACGCTGTATTTATGCCCTGTGAACATAGCTGTATGCAAACCATTATTCTATTGTTCCAGGTGGACTATAACATGTCCTTAGCATGTTACAGGGCATATTACAATGATTTTCCAAGGAGGCACTACATGACCTGCATCAACAGACACATTAACGTGAGTATTGTGAGGTGTAATTTTAGAATGCCTATATGGCCTCCTTGATTTTCATAGGCCTTTCTCTCCTTCAAAAAGGCGTTTGAGGTTATGTTACAAATATCTATTTGCATCAAATTGTTCATCTTTTTGATTTTGATCATATGTTTTATCAGCCTGGAATTTACTACACTTCAAAAAGAAAACATTTACTACGACAGCGCTGACGCTGACACAGAAAAGTAGAAATTTAGAAAGAGAAAAGACTGTGAAAATCATGGAGGCCATAAAGGCATCCTACAATTGTACGAACGACTGACGATATGGTCCTTAAAAGTACTGATGCAACCAATAGGTGCCTATAATTCACGCCAGTTTGTTTTAAGCATGTTGCTTTTGCATATACTATAACAATAATCTTGCAAACGTATTCGAATAGTTTAGGTACGAGGTCTATAAATTAAGTGATGAGACTGATTTTGATTTTTGTATATATATTCAAATATAATTAAAATTTTATATTGACACCTTCAAAATAATTTCTTTCTGAAGCCACACAGCGCTGGAGGCGGTTCTTCCACTCTTTAAAGCAGTGCTGGAACTCCGATACTGGAATAGCCTTCAGCTGGTCGGTTACAGCCGTTTGAATGTTTCCGACTATCCCAAAATGAGTTCCCTTGAGGTTATTTTTCAATTTCAGCAAGAGAAAAAAGTCACAAGGACTCAAATGTGAAGCTGAGGAGCCACAGAGGAATGTTTTTACTGGCCAAAAACTCGTTTATTGACATTACTGTGTGACAAGGAGCACTATCGTGATGCAGCACCCACTTGTTCTTGATCTTTCCGATCATTATGACTGTCAACCAACGATCTGAACGTACAACACCCTGGATTATGTTGTTATATTCATCGGTTCTTGAAGATGAAAGCCTTCCGCTCCGTGGTTCATCTTTCGTCTTAAACCACCAAATAACCCAGGCTCTTGACAAAACGATATCTCCCTAGGCCTGCTGAAGTTCAGCAAGAGTTTCCGTTGTACTGTGCCCAAGTCTGAAGTAAAATAAGCAATACAATAGAAAAAACTGTTAGGGACAACCAAATGACTCGAGCGAATTCAAACTTGTAATGAAGGCGGATCACATGACCCCCCTATCTCCTCTTCAAGCCCTGCGCCTCCAGTGTTGGCAGTCGAACGCTACGTTGCCAGTCTCATTACTCAATTTACAGACCTCGTATCAATTGCTTTCCTTGTACACTTTGAATTTGTCTTAATATCGATGACAGAATGACTGGATCGACATTTATTCAAAAAACAAAGCACACGTTATCGATGATGCAGCCACTCCTAATCGGATACAAGCCAGAAAGAAACTGATTTTCTGTTTAAGCCAAGCTTCCGAATTTTATCTGTGCCTCTAGGGTAGCTAGTTTAAAACGGGAGTGGTCGGTGGGATTAACGGATAGTCTGATCGTCTCAAACTCCGCTTACTTAACACAGATTGTCATAACATCCAATATTTTTCTTTTATAGGAGAGCGAAATCAAGCTTTGCGGCAAAGCGACCAACATATCACCTTCCAGAATTTTCCAAATAATGATACTCACCTTGATATCCTACGTTGTACTCATCTAATAGGAAGGCTACAATACCTTTTTTGCATCTGTGATATAATAATTTTAATTATTGAAGCCCATTTAACTAACTAATGACGGTTTTTGACTAGTCTGTACTTGTTAGTTTTATAAGATTTTATGGTGAATTTCTTCTTATCCGATATATTCTATCTTTAGTTATTTGTCGTTTATATGTTTAATAAATACGAATATTTAACTCATGTTTTCCTTATTACCCTCTCAAAGAAAGATTTTCCATTTCCTATTCAAGTTTTAATACATTGGCTACTTGCATAGACAGAAAATCGTTACGAATTTTCTGTTATATCCAGAATGATGATGTTTTTTGGAAAATCTCTTAAGACACGGCATGAAACATGTATTAACTTTTGATGAAGGTTAACTTACTTGCTTTAAGTAAACCTTTGTGAGTGAAACCCTTTTAGTTAGTTGTATTTGTACTTGAAGGCAACGAAAGTATTTGATACTTCTTTCACTCTAATTTGACGAAATCTACAAACAACAGCTAAACTGTAGTTGTTGGTTTTTTTTTCAACTAGGCCAATATCGCTTTCATAAGTGAAAGTCCTGTATGCAGTGTGCGAGAAAATTAAAACATATTTTAAAAATGGAATGACTAGATTTTTTTGGTGCTAATCTGAAACCTAAAGGTACGAAACTATAGTCGTTTTCACGAGTATCCATTACGTCAAGCGTGATAGCAAAAAGCAACTGATTATCTAGCAACTTTGCGCACAATAAATAATGCTACAAGCAAAATGGCTGCTAATAAGACAATACTTCAAGTCACGTCGAAATAAAACAGTTTTTGACTATGATTGGTATAAACAGTTCTCAATACGGTCCTGAGTTTTACCTACCATTATTGCCAACACCAGACCTTAATACAAAAATGTCACTTGTTGATCAACTGTTCACCTAAGTAGACGTCAAAATGTAATAATACACGTGAAAAAGAACATAATATATACCCTATTTCACGAGTATCCATCACGGTAGAATGACAGCTCATTATCTAGTAATATCTCAAAATTCCCCATATCGGCACAGGACACATAATTCTGACCGATGCGTCAACGCCAGGTAGTAAGAGCCGTGTTTTGTTTTTTTTTTTTGTACGAGATTCATTTTGTACTCGCTAACAGCTATTTAGAAAAGTTCACTTGCAAACAAAAAACAATACGCTATAAACAGGGATTACTAGATTTACACCCGATTCATTATTGCCAACACAAAAATGTCACTTGCTGATCAGCTGTTTACCTCAGTAGACGTCAAAGCGTGATGGATACTCGTAAAATAGGGTATAGAGGTGTTTGTCTATAATAGACATCATCTCAAAGTACAAGCCTTGCCCTTTCCAATGCCGTTGAGTTTGCTTATTTTTTTTCATAATATATGCAGAGATATGGCACTTTAAATTTTTCTGAATTTAACTATATGTGATGTTCTACACTGTGTTCTTATGAAATAAGCTTTGCCAACTAAGAAAAACATAAATCCTCAACACTAAATCCACAAAATATATAACACCCAAACCCATACTATCCTATCAAGGCCGAGTTTAATGTTCCCATTTTCAATTGCACCCTTCTTTAAATAAAAAAATATTTCTTCTGATAAAAGTTGAACTTGTAGAGTATCAAATATAGTGAAGTTCAGAAAACACCCAAACCACATGCCCACAACCCACTCTACCCTATCAAGGCCGAGTTTAACGTTATTTTCGATTGCGCCTTTTTTCATATAAAACAAACTTGCTTCTGATAAAAGCTGAACTTCTAGACTTGTGCAGTATCAAATATACTGAAGTTCAGAAAAATGAGAATTTTAAAGTGTCACAAAAATCGTTATTTTTGCAACTTTATGTTGGAATATCTCCGGAACTAGAGACAACTGAGAAAACCGGATTCGGATTCAGTACATCAATAACCTTCATGTCTCAATAAGAGGGTCGGCTTACTTTTATAGGTCTGTGTAATTTTTAGGACCTGCATTATAGAAACAATTTATCAAAAAACATTTTTATTATAAAATACACTTTACGGTATCATTGCAGAGAGTTCAATGCACTTATATACAGAGTCCATGCTATAAATATATAGCATACCCTGTTCAGATCTATAATAAACCATCTTTTAATAAATCTCTAAGTTCATCATTGACAACTTTTAAAAAATACTAACCTTAAATATAAAAAAATATCATACTTCACTCTTATAATATTTTATAAGCTTTCAAGGTACATTAAATTGTATACTTCCATTCACGAAAACACTTGTTAACTAACTACTTAATAAGAAAGTACAAAAACTAGGAATTTCTGGGCAATATGGAAGACACAAAAAGGGTTATAAGTTCTGAAAATTTATGAACTAAAACACTAGAAGCAGTGTAAGGAAGTTTAGAAGCTGTAACAAGCTTTGATGGTGGGCCAACTTGGCCCCAGTTTGACAATACTTTCACAAGTATACAATTTAATGTTGTTAAATATGAATAAAAAGGACGACGCAAATGGTAAATAAAAAATATAAGATATAGGTATACAAAAGATATGTGGAACTTATGGCAAATATATGGTAGGATTAATATAACTACTGCGTCTGTTGTATTTGAGATTGCATCTGCGCGATAACTTCTTTCATTCTTCGTAGTTCTGCTTCTTTCTCCTGTAGAATTCTGTCTTTTTCGTTCACGGCTGCTGATTTGTCGTCTCCCAGACTGTAAAGATGCGATTCGATTCGATTTTTGTCATTTTTTAGGTAAAACGGTTTTGTCAAATTTTAATTAGTCCAGTCCTGAATTTATTTTCCATTAACGAAATGGCCAAAATGTATGTCGTTTATAAGAGGCTAAAGACTCGTCAACCACTATAATCACCACAGTGGCTTCTATCGACTGTGGTTAAAATATCTCCCTCCCAAAAAAAACACACTGGTATAAGCCAAAAGAATCACATGCAACATAATTTAAATAAAATAAAAGTTTGAAGATTGGGTTGAACTGATACAAAAACTACTCACGTATTCCTCTTTCCCTGATGCGCGGCCGCCACCACAGCCGCTGCTGCCGCAGGTGGCGGCACTCCCTTGGCGAGCCTCTCCGACCTGTAGTTCTCGTAATGCACCTGCTGCGTGATCTCCTGCAGATCCTGCATGTGCGTCACAAGCATGGCGCGCAACTTCACGAAGTCGCAGTGCTCGGGGTTCTCCACTTCGACCACGCCCCATGGGTACAGGCGGCCGCGTACTTTGCGACCGCGCACTTCGAGTTGAGTGTTCGCGCCGCAAACGGCGAACGGGACAGCTTGCTTCAGTTGGCGGACCTGAAACAAAAAGAAATAATTTAACAAGCGATGGAGAAGTAAGGTACTAATATAGTGAATATTATTTACTTCCGACGTTGCTTGACTCAACTTGACTAGTATGATTATGCCTCCCCTCTAAAGAGCCCTAGAGCTAGAGGATATAAATATGCACACAGCTGACACACATCTTGTTCATAGTCGGATTCTAGGCCATCACATAAAAATTGAGGCTTCTGCCGGCTTTGAAAATTTTTTTTTGCTTTATCTTCATAAACATCAATGAAATTCAGTCTAACGAGAATTTTGTACGGTGACCTTGATCAGGACGTTCAAGGTCAAAATAATTATCGACCAGCGCCATAGCTAAACGTAAATTTTTCCGTTCTACCTATTACCAGGATCAAAATTTGGAGGACTGTTGAACAAAATTGTCTTGATCTTGATTTTACCACCTGGGTCATAATAAAGGCCAGTTTAAGGGCATCATTAAGTAATCTTGAATTTACCACCTGGGTCATAGTAAAGGCCAGTTTGAGGACATCATTAAGTAGCCTTACAAAAACTGAAGCTCCTGGGGCTTTTGGATCCTTATTTTTGCTTTATCTTCATAAATATACTATTTTAAAAAAACTAAATTTTTCAAAAAATATTCCCAAATATTTGAAGCTGTTTAGTGAGAAATAAATAGCTTTTCGTAAAAAGCTGTACCTGTTAGTTTAGATATTGTGGAGCAGGTCTTAATAAGCATACTAAAAAATATTTAAGAGAAACGGATAATTCAATTTTGCACAATAATTTGGAGTTTTAGGTATATATTATATATTGTTTAAAACATGCTACAAACTTCAAACATTGCCTCTTTTTAAAACATGATATGCAAAATTAAAGGTAGAATAAAATCATATTATCATATTATACCAATGGTATTTACGCAATCCTCGCGCCCTGTATATTGTCTTAGAGCCGTTTTACACACAAGAGAATTACTCCGAAAATTATGGTCATAATTATGCCGAAAATTTTTGCTGTCGTATTACACGTAAAAGAATTCTTGTGAAAATTTTCATGGTAAAAATATAAAACCCGTTCTATATTATATGCGCGAGAATCGGCGCAGAGGGTTATTTCCGTGCATGTCAATATCAAATGTCAACGACAACAACAACAACATAACCTCACTTAACATTTGTGGGAGTGGTCCTGTTCGAGTCGTACGAAGGAGCGTTTATTGTTATTGTTTATTCATAATGTCGTGGAATCGGGAAGAATTTACAATGTTGTTGGAGGAGTACCAAAAATGGCCAAACCTGTACAAGGTGAAGTCACCCAATTACAAAAACAGAAATTTGCGGCGTCAGGCGCTGGATGCGATAGTCCAAGCATTGAGAAGTTTTATAATATTAACCAAGATCTCGATTTCAAAAATAAATTTAAATTATCGACGTCTGTTGTCTTTCCGATTATATTGGACGTCATACCCGTTAAGGTTATGTCCATTTGAAAATATAACTCTAATGCGCAGGCGTATCATATGAATTACTCCGAAATTTTGTTTGCTTGTGTCATACAGGTTGTAGAGAAAATCTTCAATATTTTTTCCATGCAAATTTTCAGCATAATTATGACCATAATTTTCGGAGTAATTCTCTTGTGTGTAAAACGGCTCTTACTGAGTAGGATTAGGTCTACTGATGAATACTACCAAGACCAAGATTGCTTGTTTTTTGCTGTGGAAATGTCATTTAAATAAGGTATATAAGCATTAAAATTGTTGTTTGGAAGTAGCTTGTTTCACACTGCTAAAAATGTAATAAAGTTCCCCAAAAAATACCCAAAAGTACTATTTTCTGCAAAAACAGAAAATCCCCAGAAAATTGCACAAAAGTATAAAAATCCTCAAATGTTGAGAGAAAGTTTGTTGAAGCAATGCCAGCAACTTACCACAGTTCAGCTGCACTTTGCCCAAGAATTAAATCAGCTTTCTAGAAACCTGCTATGAGTATGTGATTTCATCAAAACTTCATTTTCAAAAGTAAGAAACGAATTTTGGTATTAAGAGAATGTGATAGATTCTTCATCTGACTTACACAAACCCTAATATATTTTACCTGCTCTTTGTATTCCTCATCTTCATCAGAATCACATTCAGGCAAGGTGTAGATTTTGATGTTATTCTCAGCAATCTCATCTAGAACCTTCTTTTTCAATCTTTGCATTTCTTTTTTGGTTAAAACATCAGCCTTTGCAATAACAGGAACTATATTGACTTTGTTGTGGAGTTGTTTCATGAACTCAATATCCAGAGGTTTTAAGCTAGGAAGGAATATCAAAATGAGTATCAATTATACCACTCACAAACTAAGATGAAATAAAAATCAAATTTCATATTTGCAAAGAAATTATAACTGATCTCAAATTCACATTCTAATTCATATTGTTTATAAATGATGACCCAGATTTGTCATCCAAAAGCTATTCAGGAACTTTAAAGCAATGCTTATTGGTATTCTGGCTGGGACAACATTATAATGGTAACAGATTATTAAAATTCAGATAGTACACATTCCATTTAGGATGTTATAACAGTAAATACAGCATTTCTATTATAGATAGCTGGTAGCAAGTACAAAAAATACTAGCAATGTTGCAAACATTAACAGCTTTATAGTTGTTTTATTGAATCATGTTATAAATAAAAGAAAATAAACAAATGAGGAAATCAAACAGGTTGTTGTGTATATATATAAACATTCACCATATGATGCTCAAGAATATAGAGTGTATAAAAAAACACATGGTTCATTTCAATCAAGGAACTATATGCTAGAAACAAAATTGGTTACTGGAGGACTAACATAATAAAAACAGTGTTTAATTCCATTTATTTTACATTATAGTCTGATAATCTGGTATGGCATTAAAAGGCTATCTAATGTTAACAAAAACATTTCAATTGACAACTTAGGAACACCCTTTTTACTATTTTAAATAATTTCAATGATAAAAAATGTAGTTATTGATAAAAATCAGATGAAAGAAACAATTTCTTACCCATGGCCAAAAGGTGAGATGAAGTAGAAACAGCAATGGATCCTATTATCCATAATATTCTTCCTATTTAACCCTGATTCATCTGTGAGAAATCTTTCAAACTGCTCATCTATATACCTTATTATTTCAGAAAATGAGTCTGTATTGTCAATGGCATCTCCATACCCTGGAGTATCTACTACAGTCAGTCTCAGCTTTACTCCTCGCTCTTCTATCTCTACAGTTGATGGTTCCAGTTTCACAGTTTGCTTCATTTTTTCTAAAAAAGTAAAAGATGCTGTTGTATAGAGATGGTATAACTTAATATGAAAAAGTGATAACCAGAAGAGCTTCAGTCAATTTGTTGTCTATCGTAAAACGAGAAATAGGTGCAATGACAAACTGCTAGATAAAAGTACATATCAAGAGATACAGAGTTGAGGACAATGATTCAACTTAAAAAGCACAAACCTATGGCGTCAGGAACTACCCGTTCTGGGTAGAGATCAGTCAGAAAAAGGGCATTGACCAGAGTTGATTTTCCTAGGCCACTCTCACCCACAACCATCAAAGTGAATTCAAAGCCTTTTTTCACAGATTTTCTATGAACCTGGTTTGGAAGGTTAGCAAACCCCACGTATCCTGGAGCTTCTACACTAGAAAACTTAAAAAAACATTGAGTGTTAACGAATCCATCTAAAAATAGTGTGAAAAAGCTTACATTCTTTGCAGATTCACTAGACATTGTCACTGTTTTTGTATTGGCACTGGAATTGCAAAGTTTAATTCACAAAATATGATAAAACTTAAGTACTACAATTTAACTAAATTCGAGCTAACTGATAGGAAACGTCGATGCTATGTTGAAGAATTGACGTTACGTTAAACGCCTTAGCGTTAAACTGTCATTTTGAGCATTTAGCCAAAACAAAACCGTGAAATTTCATTGGTCGGGTAGGGGTGTGGCCAATTCTGAACCTAATCAAACAAAATTCCTAATTTGAAACATATAGAACTGGACTGCTAATGAAACGTATAATCTGTCCGCCATTTTCCTCTGTGCTTATTTTTGAAAATGATCTAGCAACGCAACCTCTAATCAAATTCACACGCAAACATTTCTCCCATGAATATTATGAAATGTTTCTTATTTAAACTTTCCATATACAGTTGTAGACGAAAAAGCACCGATTATTAAGTGATAATAAAAATAATCAGTTATTATATATGCGCTTTTCTAAAATAAACAACTTGCAACAAAACCGCGGTTAAAACCAACGCGTTCAAGCGATTCGTTTAACTGACGTCTTCAACCCGTGTGTCATCTTGAACCATATTATAATCAAATTCAAGCGGATAACCAAATGGAAATGGTATTTACCATTTTGTGTTGGTATTTACCAATCCGTTCAGGCGAGTGTAGTTATCAGTTTGTTTATAAGATCCGTGACGTCACGAATCAGTTGTTATATGTCATAGTTATCACCGCAAAATTGTGGTATTTACCCAACTCTAGAATAGTTTTATATTTCTGGTTATTATTTGAAATGTGACAAGTTAGAATTTTGCCTGGTATTGGATGTTGTTATTGTACTTCAGCTTCATTTTTGAGAAAAATGGTACAGGCTGACTTTAGTTTTACCATAAAGTGGAGCACCTTATTAGTTATACTCATTACGGTTGTTGGGGACACTTTAAGTGTAGTTCCTATGCTTAACAAAGTATCCTGTGTAGCCATATACCACAAGAATATTAAAATATGGCCATATAAACTCACTAGATGATATCCACCTGTAAACGGTTTTGCTAATTTCTTTTTTCATCATTTCTGCTGAATCAATAAATGTTTTCTTTGACATGCGGAAAAATTTAGAGAATTGAAAGTTATCATAGCTACAAAGCCATGGTTCCATCATTAAAAAAAAAATCTGAAAAAACATTTCTCCCATGAATATTATGAAAGGTTTCTTATTTAAACTTTACATATACAGTTGTAGACGAAAAAGCACCGATTATTAAGTGATAATAAAAATAATCAGAGATTATATACACGCTTTTCTAAAATAAACAACTTGCAACAAAACCGCGGTTAAAACCAAGGCGTTCAAGCGATTCGTGTAAGTGACGTCATCAACCTGTGTGTCATCTTGAACCATATTATAACCGCGGCACATAACACAGAAATTTTGGTTATTCGCTTGGATTTGATTTCTATTTCGAGTATCGGGAATTCCGGAACAAGGGCAACTGTCACTCTGGCCTGACAATCACATTTGTCATGAGTCAAAACATTAACCTTACTTTTTCCATCCATCATCTATTTCTACTTTTTGAAAAAAATATTTGAAATGGGTAAACTCAACGTGACGGTTATGCGTTACTTGACGCCAGAGGATTTCCGTGTCCTCACAGCTGTTGAAATGGGGATGAAGAACCATGAGTTGGTACCAGGACCAATGGTTGCCTCCATAGCAAACCTACAGCATGGTGGAGTCCATAAACTTCTGAGAGAATTGTGTAAACACCGTCTGTTAAGCTACGAACGAGGCAAAAAGTATGATGGGTATCGCCTCACCAACACAGGATATGATTATCTGGCTCTTCATAGTTTAACAAAACGAAATGTAGTTGGGTCTTTTGGTAATCAAATTGGAGTCGGAAAAGAGAGCAATATTTATATTGTAGCAGACCCTGAAGGTGAAGAACTATGCTTGAAGCTACACAGATTAGGCAGGGTGTGTTTCAGAAAAGTGTCAGAGAAAAGAGATTATCACAAACACAGAAAATCAGCTTCTTGGTTGTACCTTTCCAGAATATCGGCTACTAAAGAGTTTGCTTATATGAAAGCCTTACATGACAGAAAATTTCCTGTGCCTAAACCTATGGATTTTAACAGACACTGTGTTGTTATGGAATTGATTAAGGGCACACTTTTAAACCATGTTATGGAAGTACAAAGTGTTGAAGCATTGTATGATGAACTTATGAACCTAATAGTTCGCTTTGCTGATTCAGGAGTGATACATGGTGATTTCAATGAATTTAACATCATTTTAACAGAGGATGAAAAACCTGTTATAATAGATTTTCCTCAAATGATATCAACACAACATCCAAATGCAGAGTTTTTTTTCAATAGAGATGTTAATTGTATAAAGGATTTTTTCAAGAAAAGGTTTGCATTTGAGAGTGAGTTGTTTCCAAAATTTGTTGATGTTGAAAGGGTAGATAATTTAGATGCTGAAGTTTTGTGTTCTGGCTTTACAAAGCAGATGTCGAAGCATATTAACAAAGAGTTAGGCATAGAAAATAGTAGTGAATCTGACAGTGATGGTGATGAAAATGAAGAAAAACGTGAGGAAAGTTGTGTAAATACAGACAAAGGCCATTCAGAAGAAAGTGAGTCTATTCAAGATGAAAATGCATGCAAAATTAATGAGTATGCTAGCATAGATTTGATATTTGATAAAATGAAGATTGAAAATCAGTCTCCTGATAAGCATGGTGAGTATGATCAATACAGAGTAAACCATATTCGATTCCAAGTACTCAAAAAATGCAGCTGAGTTTATATTAGGTCTTCCATCTAATAACATGCTCAAACAATAACTTCTTGATGTTGAAAAAGATAACTACTTAGTGTATTATTGTATCATGATAATGGTAACCAAATACCACTTGAAATGCTGCTATGTGTCATTGAGAAGTGAAATTCCAGAATTGCATGACTGCAATAACAGCTGATATTTCGAAGAAATAATTTTTAAAACACTGATTGCCAAGAATGATTTTTCACTGAACAATAATGATAACTGGTTATAGCAAATACTTTTTATATTTTCACCTTTTCCATAAAATGCCTCATGAATTTTACAAAAATTCTGTTTTAGATGCTGATGGTTCTGTGTTGTCAAGTGAAGATTGTGACAATGGAAGTTTGTGGTCATCAGCTACGACAATTCCCCCAGATGAAATTAAAAAAAGAGTCAAAAAACAAATTTTGAATAAGGAGACAAGGGTTCAGAGGAAGAAATGTGTGGCTAAAGGTGAAGCAAGTGCTGTCACTAGATCAAGAAGAGAAAATTTGAACACAATCAAGGGTAGCAAAGGAATTTGGGATGATTAAGTCTATTTTAATGTAAGATGTATTGAAGTTAAGCAGAATAAAGTAATTTTTATAAGTAAAGCTTTATTCATTCATAAGTCACACTCATAATTGAAACTCCTGCATCAGATTACCCCCTACTGAGCGAGGGCCGTGGCAAATGCTTGTTCCGGAAGTCGTTGTATCCAGTATACAACTTCTTCCCGTCCAAGTGATTGCGCACGCGTTAAGGAATACCTCAGTACCGATTGCCGGGTGGCGGTACAAGTCCGCCAACGGGCCACTTTAGGTCTATTTAACATCACTAATACGTAAAAAGAAGGTGGTAGACAAGGACCAGTCGACCGAGGCAGTACCACCCGCTAGCTTTTCCCAGGGTGTCTTATAAATGTCCGCATGTTTCCACACCTAAGCTATGCAGTCGGTTATCTACCAAAACAAAGAAATTAATGATGATGGATCCCTCGAGCACTAAAAACTCCGGACGTAAACTCACTCCACTCTCGGAATGTCCGGGTGGAGGGTGGGCTCGAGGGAACAACATCGAAGATAAAATTTGTTTTTCGAACATCTGCGGGATCAACAGCAACATTGATGCTGTTCATCACTACCTGCAATCCAATCGTCCCGCCGTGCTTTTCTTGGCGGAGACAAAAATCTCAGAGGCTGCACCGATTAACCATCTCAACTTCCCAAACTACGAGGTGCACTCCAATCTGAGAAAGAACCGGGGAGTTGTGGCTTTTGTCCGCAGCAGTCTTTCCTGCTCCAGGGATCTTTCTTTGGAATCAGACCGGAAGGACATTCTGTGGCTTCGCCTCAATTCCAAAACATCACCCAAATTTATTTGCTGCCTTTATCGCTCTCCCTCGAACCATAACTGGGATGACCTACTCGAATACCTCGCCGTCCAGATCGACTTCCTGAACATCAATCACCCCGCTTCAGAGGTAGTTCTTCTCGGTGATTTCAATGCCCATAATGAGCTTTGGTTGGGCTCAAATAAGACCGACGCAGCAGGTCGTGCAGTCGAAGCGTTCGCTCTTACTCAAGGGCTGACCCAGCTGGTGACGAGCCCTACTTTTTTCCCCTGCGTCTCGTCACACGCCAGTAGCCTGCTGGATCTCTTTCTGACCACGCATCCTGCCCCTTACAGCACTGCCGTCCTGTCCCCCCTGGGTAACTCAGATCACGGTGTTGTGGAGGTTAGGTTTCGGTCAGAAGCCTCTGTGGCCGCAGAAACTCGCACAGGCCGCAAAACTTGGCATTACGGACATGCCGACTGGGAGGGGCTCAGAGACTTCTTCTCTAGCTTTCCTTGGAGAGATGTCTGTTTCACTGACGCGGATGCGTCGACTGTCTGTTCTTCAATAACCGAAATTATCCACGTCGGAATGGAGGAATACATCACTCACACAGTGAAAGTTCCTAAACCAGGGTCCAATGGCTGGTTCAACAAATCGTGTGACACTGCTCGCCAGCAGAAGATCAAGGCCCACAGAACCTACTTACAAAACTCCACTGTAGAGAACAGACAAGCCGACGTCGAGTCCAGAAACAAATATAACGAAGCGGTTCGCAATGCCAAAACCCAGCATGATATAAAAGTTAGGCATAGGGTAATGTCGCAGCGCAATGGCAGTCGGTCTTTCTGGACGCTGGCCAAGCAGATTGAAAAGAACTTCTCACACAGTAGCCTTCCACCACTTACGTGTCAGGATGGAACTATTGTATTCGACTCAAAGGCCAAGGCGGAAGTGCTAGCCAAGATCTTTGCTGCCAACTCCACCATGGACGTCCCCACCAACGCCCAAGTGCCGTCAATTCAAAGGGTTCCCCTCACTATGCGGGAGGTAACATTCAGGCATAAGACCGTAAGACGAGTGCTCTTGTTGCTCGACATCAACAAAGCTTCTGGTCCGGACTTGATTCCTGCCATTGTACTGAAGAGATGTGCAGCTGAGCTTGCTCCAGTTCTTTCGCGTCTCTTCCAGATAACTTATGAATCCGGCACCTTCCCAGAAAACTGTAAATTTGCTCATGTACAGCCCATCCCAAAAAAAGGATCTAAAACCGACCCTTACAACTACAGGCCTATAGCTCTGCTTTCTGTTATAAGTAAAGTGATGGAGAGGTGCATAAATCGCGAGCTTCTGGACTACCTCGAACGTCACAGCTTGATTAGCGACAGGCAGTACGGTTTCCGGCACCAACGATCCACAGGGGACCTCCTAGCTTACGTCACGCAACTGTGGAGTAAACTCATCCAGTCTCATGGTGAGGCTCATGTCGTTGCTCTTGACATCACGAAAGCGTTCGATCAGCTGTGGCACGCTGCCCTCTTGAGCAAACTTCCATCCTACGGCCTCCCAGAAAAGCTTTGCAAATGGGTGGCTGACTTTATCTCTGGCCGCAAGATATCCGTCGTAATTGACGGATTCTCCTCTTCATCCCACAACGTCAACGCGGGTGTTCCCTAGGGATGGGTCTTGGCTCCAACACTGTTTCTCTTACATATCAACGACCTCCTTTCCTGCACGATCAACCCAATCCACAGCTTCGTTGATGACAGCACTCTACATGCAGGAATTCAGAGTGACAAGCCGATCTCTGCCGCTGGGCTGGAAAAAAGAAGACTAGCGACGACTTCTTCTATGACAAGAGACCTGGAGGCTATCACTGCTTGGGGACGCAACAATCTTGTACAGTTCAATGATTCCAAAACCCAGTACTGTACTTTGACGAACAAAAAGCGTCCTAGCGCTCATACAGTTTCGATGGACGGTCGAGTCCTACCAAAGAGCCATTCATTTTGGCTGGTCGGAGTCCAGATCACCGAGGACCTGATCTGGCACGAACACATCTCTTCAATAGCTGCAGCTGCTGGGAAAAAGCTAAGCTATTTGTTTAGGTCTAAGAAGTACTTTTCTCCGCATGACCTTCTCACTCTATACAAGGCCCAGATAAGGCCTAGCCTCGAGTATTGCTCACACATTTGGGGTGCTGCCGCCCCGACTACATTGTCCATGCTCGATGCTGTCCAGAGGAGGGCGGTCCGACTGATCGATGACTCTTCTCTAACAGACAGTCTCGGGACTCTTTCGCACCGGCGGGCCGTCGGCGATCTAGCTCTTTTCTATCGCTACACCAACGGGCTTTGCTCCTCAGAGCTCTCTTCCATGATGTCGCCGCGCGATGTGCCTGCCAGACAGACCCGCCTGACTTCGGCGTCCCATCCTAACCGTGTCAAACTTCGTACATCCAGAACTGGCCGATACGACCGCTCCTTTGTCCCGAGGGTGTCTAGATTGTGGAACAAACTACGGGAGGAAGCTTTTCCCAGTTCTACTAACCTTAGGCAGTTCAAAAATCGTATTAACAAAATTTCTTTGGGATCATCATAGCAGCCGCGGTGTTTCGGCATTTAGGCTTCTGCCTGCGCGGCTGTTTCGATATATAAAAAAAAAAAAAAAGATAATTTGTGCACATATATTAACAATTTTTTTATATTGATCTATAGCAGATACAGGGATGTATGCTCATACAGTTTTTTACCAGTTTTAAAGTTCTCTAACTTCTACAGCTAACTTTTGCAAATGTAATTTTCATAATTAGTTCAATTCTTGTTTTTAATCTACATAATTTTATAGATCACTCATAGAGATCCATATTTGGGACAAATATAAATTTTGAATCAAGAGCTGACATAAGCGAGGTGCCTTTCTCTGACTTCCTTTGTATATAAGGTGTTTTAATACAAACCAAAACAGCATCTCAATGTACCATCACCCATATTGTCATGAAATTTCAAACAACAGTTGTAGGATCCTCAACATGTCAAGTATAAAAAGCCTCAAGAATAAATACAGGTTTGCCATATTGGGGGATTTTTACGTCCCTTGGTGTATTTTTGGGGAATAAAATGTTCTGGGGGATTTTTGGGAGGAAGTAAGTTTTGTCTTTTTGGGGTATTTTAATCCATCTGTAACAACGGAAAACGTAACTGCTAAATTAATAACAAAATTATCTTTCTGTATCTTTTTCGTTCCTCATGTCGCACTCATCTCTAAAAAAACAGCTATGCTGACCCATCTTTATTATGTCTATTGTAGGTTGGTAGACATGCGTCTATCGTCATACAGCACGGAAAAACAATAATAAGTTGTCCAGTTGTGGACTGGCAGGTTAATATTTTTGCCACAAACGCGCTACGGATCTGCGATTTACCAATCCCCGAATGTCGAAGTGATAGCGAATGCGCGTATCGTCTTGTGTTAATGTTCTAACAAGTTTGTAAAATAGTCCCAATTCGTTAGAAAAAAATTATATTTATATTTCATACAGGATTCAGGATCTCTACACAATCAAAAATACATTATCATGTAAGTTCATTTATATTCCTATACAATGTGCAAATTTAACGCTTTATTAGATAATATAATTGATATATTATAGTTTATACTTGTTGGCGTCTAAAAATGGTACTCCTTCTTAGTACATCAAAATTCTCTATCAACGCTCATCAGAATAATACATTGATTCACATTAAATCCTTGGGATAACATCAGAGAAACAAATAAAAATCATGGGAGGTCTCTCATATATACAGGGTGAGTTTTTGGTGTGGGCTCGGGCAACAGCTCCGCTATTAGTCTAAAAAAGTTGGATACAAAAATGGGTAGCCTAATTTGGAAAATAGTTTCATCTCTACATCTACATCTGATTCGTGGTGACCCGATCATATATTTTTTTTTAACGGAAAGCCGTACATTTTATCACAGGTTTGGATAGGACATTTCAAAGGAAGCAATTTGATATAGCATACTAAGGGGTTTTGTTTTCAAATTGTTGAGATATTGGACACTGCATCGAAAAAAAAAACACATTTTACTACTCGCAGTTCTGCAAGTATTGAATTTTCCATCAAAAATTTTATGGCCCCATAATTTCTCTGTCTACTTTTTCAGTTTTTTTCTATAGTATATAAGAACGTGAAATCAATTATTTTTAAAAATTTTCAAGTGAACGGCCTGTATATTTTCACATTCTTTAATTCCCCTCTTCACAGACCTTTTTCTGGTCTGATGTTTATAAGTGTT